AAGCTGATCCCATGCTAACCATGTAGAGGCGGCGATAGCCATGCTAACTCTGTAGGGGCAGTGATAGCCATGCTAACTATGTAGGGGCAGTGATAGCCATGCTAACTATGTAGAGGCAGTGATAGCCATGCTAACTATGTAGGGGCAGTGATAGCCATGATAGCTATATAGGGGGAGTAATAGCCATGCTAACTATGTAGGGGCAGTGATAGCCATGCTAACTATGTAGAGGCAGTGATAGCCATGCTAACTATGTAGGGGCAGTGATAGCCATGCTAACTATGTAGGGGCAGTGATAGCCATGCTAACTATGTAGGGGCAGTGATAGCCATGCTAACTATGTAGAGGCAGTGATAGCCATGCTAACTATGTAGGGGCAGTGATAGCCATGCTAACTATGTAGAGGCAGTGATAGCCATGCTAACTATGTAGGGACAGTGATAGCCATGCTAACTATGTAGAGGCAGTGATAGCCATGCTAACTATGTAGGGGCAGTGATAGCCATGCTAACTATGTAGGGGCAGTGATAGCCATGCTAACTATGTAGAGGCAGTGATAGCCATGCTAACTATGTAGAGGCAGTGATAGCCATGCTAACTATGTAGGGACAGTGATAGCCATGCTAACTATGTAGAGGCAGTGATAGCCATGCTAACTATGTAGGGACAGTGATAGCCATGCTAACTATGTAGAGGCAGTGATAGCCATGCTAACTATGTAGGGGCAGTGATAGCCATGCTAACTATGTAGGGGCAGTGATAGCCATGCTAACTATGTAGGGGCAGTGATAGCCATGCTTACTCTGTAGGGGCAATGGTAGCCATGCTAACTCTGTAGGGGCAGTGATAGCCATGCTAACTCTGTAGGGGCAGTGGTAGCCATGCTAACTCTGTAGGGGCAGTGATAGCCATGCTAACTCTGTAGGGGCAGTGATAGCCATGCTAACTCTGTAGGGGCAGTGGTAGCCATGCTAACTCTGTAGGGGCAATGGTAGCCATGCTAACTCTGTAGGGGCAATGGTAGCCATGCTAACTATGTAGGGGCAGTGATAGCCATGCTAACTATGTAGGGGCAGTGATAGCCATGCTAACTCTGTAGGGGCAGTGATAGCCATGCTAACTCTGTAGGGGCAATGGTAGCCATGCTAACTATGTAGGGGCAGTGATAGCCATGCTAACTATGTAGGGGCAGTGATAGCCATGCTAACTCTGTAGGGGCAGTGATAGCCATGCTAACTCTGTAGGGGCAATGGTAGCCATGCTAACTCTGTAGGGGCAGTGATAGCCATGCTAACTCTGTAGGGGCAGTGGTAGCCATGCTAACTCTGTAGGGGCAGTGATAGCCATGCTAACTCTGTAGGGGCAGTGGTAGCCATGCTAACTATGTAGGGGCAGTGGTAGCCATGCTAACTATGTAGGGGTAGTGGTAGCCATGCTAATTATGTAGGGGCAGTGGTAGCCATGCTAACTATGTAGGGGCAGTGATAGCCATGCTAACTATGTAGGGGCAGTGGTAGCCATGCCAGTCCAGGGCATGACCAGTTCTAATGTAAGGTCCCTTGGTCAAGGTCAGTGATCAGCGTACCTGACACAGAACAACCAGACCATGCACATTGCTATAGGTTAATATTCTATATTAATTAAGCTATGTATGCTTAAATAAATAAATAAATCCACCATCTCCCTTTCTTTTAACAACTAGACTGCTGAATACAAGATTTTACCTTCTACCAGAAGGTTGAGAATCCCTTAAACTAAACTGAACCGCTTTAAAATACCCCTTTAAAACTATCTTGATCAAATATATATAGATCAAAATTAAAAATAGATCTGTTTGCAGAGAAATGGGAAATATGCAACAACTTGGTGTTCTTGTTGATTTAGTATTGCATGTTATCCTTAACATGCAATACACCCCCACAATGGCAGCCCACTGCTCCCTAAAGGGATAGGTTAAATGCAGAGGTAAATTTCTCCAATAGGAGATCAGTAAAGTTAAATCTTTATTTATTAACATATTTTTATGCATATGTAGGAAACTTGTACATCCTTAGCTGGTATTTGTCTTTTATGTGTATTTACTGTTTCTAATGGCAGCTACTACTATGTACTACGCAGTTTTGAGTCCAAAATAAATTTCCCCTAGGGCAGAGGTCTTCAACGTTTTCCAGGCTAAGGACCCCAAACTGATGGTTAGATGGAGCGGGGACCCCTAATTATATATATAGTATGAAATAGTGTTCTATCAAACTGGTCCTATAGTCACTCTATTACAGATGGAGTAATGTAACTAAAGTAATCCCTCCCTGGGATTATTAAAGTATTTCTGATTCCTGGTTGATGGGACAGGTGTTGTGAATGAAACAGTGCCCAGCTTGAAAGAGCTCCTGTGTGTCGCTGAATGTCACTGAAAGACATCTTCTGCCGGACAACATGATATATTCTATTCTATTCTATTCTTACATCCGGAAGCAGCAACAGATAATCCATCATCCTGCTCACCTGTTTATGTTGTGCTGTTTTTTTTGTTTGTTTTTGTTTATAGTCCAGAGGTAACAATAAGCACACTTCCAAAAGCGGTATATATTTCGTCTCATCTTTGCACAGATTTATTTACTAAAATCCTACATGACATCAAGAGGTTTTTGGGTAAATGTGGGACAGACATTTATTCTCTTGTTTTCTCTCATTTCTATCTTTTTAGAAGTTTTTTGTTGTTTTCCTCTGATTTTGATTTTTTTTTCAATCTGGACATGGTTTATTATTACTAAGAGCTTTTAGCCTACTTCATGGTGTCAGACAGGTGACCCAGCTTCAGACCAGGTGAAGCAACTGATGTCACTTTACTTCTGTATTTATTCACAGCACTGTTTGGACACATTCATTATACATCTGTTTGGGGTTTTTCGGACCTTTAGATGCTGATGATAATGTGCTAAGCTGACCCTCCTGTGACCTCATACAGCAAAATATATGTGAAAGTTTATGAGCAGGTCACTGACCTCAGCTGAACCACGCTGGTTAAACACCAGTGGAAAACAGAAGCAGGCTTTAACTGGGCCAGAGTTTAACCAATCCCACCTGGATCGTTTTGTCCGATTGAATCCAGTCAATGAGTCGATGCAATCAGCTGGTTTTCCTTAGATAGAAAACTTTGAATCAATCTGACTGGATGATCTGGTGAACTGCAAAGTGCCTTGAGATGATATGTGTTGTGAATTGGTGCTATAGAAATAAACTGAATTGAACTTAAACCTGGAACGTTAGTGTTAACTGGGCTGCACTGAGCTACAGGAGAGAAGATGCAGTGTGCCTTAGAGATGTGATGCTTGCTGACCAGCAGGAAGGAAGATCTGTGCTGATAACAAACGGGAAGAGTTGAATTATTTACCCATAGCCTCACTGGGATACGCAGTTATTACAGTCGAGTTCTGAACAGCTGACAATTACATGGTGTAAAACTTTAAATTTTTTTGGATGCATAATAGATATAAGACGCATCTCACCTGTAGAGCGAGGTGGGTTTTTATTCAGTCTAGAGGAAGGAAATTAAATTTCAGTGTTTTTTGAGTAAGTATGTAATTAGTATCTGGAGTATATTATGTATTGAATTTATTAAATGCTGCAGTGATCAAATGTAAACAACATGGGAGAAAAAAAAAACAAAACTTTGCATTGATATTGAAGTCCAGAGCATTAATATATATGGTGCAAATATGCAGTATTTTTAGTTTGTGATGCAGTCTGTGACACAATTTAGAGCTTGTTTTCCCCAACAGTTCAGCTGTCTGATGGCAGTGGGGATTGAAGCTGTTGCAGAATGTGATCTTGTTCCCTTTATTTTTCCCTCCTAGCTTCCTCCAGTGTTTTTTTCCCTAAAAGGCAATCCCTCACACTAAGCATGCTTGTAGCGACAGTGGAGAGGAAAAACTCCCTCTTAACAGGAAGAAACCTCGAGCGGAACCAGGCTCAGTGTGAGCGGCCATCTGCTGAGGCCGACTGTGGACAGAAGCAGGCCGACCAGAGTTTTAAATACAGAAAGATTTATTAAAAGTAGTATGTACAGTATACACATATAAATATAAAAATAGTTCTGTATGAACAGCTCATCTGGTCAATTGAGTCATAAACCTTTTAATATAAAACCAAACAAAGATAAAAGCACAAACACACTTCAAAGAAAGATAACGCTTGAATAACCAGGACTTTATAGAAGTTAGCTGCCATTTATCATTTAGATGTTGATGGAGTTGAAAAAAAATAAAGTTTGTTTAAAAAGAAAATGTCTTGCTTTAAAAAAAAAAATTATTTGGAAGAGCCAGCGAGGTCCTCAGTTTTTCTATCAGTCTGTTTTTTAATGGAATATCAGAGCAAGTTAATAAAAAAAAAAGGCACATTTCTTAAACTAGGGTGACGTTTTAAAGAACCCCAGTAATCTGAAGAGGCGGAAAAAAACGTCTACATTAGAGAAACATTCCTCATTTACTCCCCTGTTAGGGACTCTGCTACTAAATGTGCACCATAAATACAGGTTTTGGTACTTTAATGGGAGGATCGATACGCGCATTACAGCTACTGCAGAAACATTAAACTAGAATCAGTGGAAAATAAGATTAGCTTTTCACAGTGAAGCAAAAAAATTAATCAACACGTTTAATCTGCTTCGCCAAGAACAAAACTTCCTTTTCTGAAACTGTGCAGATTTATTTTGCATGAGATAAGCTGGGAAAAGTGCTAAAGCTGCTGAACAGACTTTATATGCTCGTTTTATCGAAAAGATGGACAAATAATGCAGATTCCTGCTGTATTTTCACTCCTTACAGGAATGTTATTTTTAAAGGTGTAGAATTCTATAAACTCGTAACAATATTAAAGTTATTCGTTTGAAGATTTGCTTCAATAGGGCGGATTCAGGTTTAACGTTGAATTTGTCGATTCTAAAACCAGTTTAGAAGTCAGTTTGGGATCGTTGTCCATTTAAACCAGTCAACTGTGTTCTAGCTATGAGGGGGAGAATGTGGAGGGAATTCTTTATGTGGTTCACAAATACCACTGGCAGCAAAGCAGACCCTCAGCACCACACTTCCAACACCTTGACTTACAGTTATTTTAGTTTTAAAAGCATCAAATCAACTTCTCGTATGTCGCTGTGTCCAAACGGAGCAGAATGTTTCTCCAGGACATCGGGCTCGTCTATGTGGGGAGTTTTAGTTGCATTTGAAGGTGTCAGCTTCGGATCTTGGGTCTTTTTTATGGACAAGGGAAGGAAGGGAAACATTTAGACTCAGATGAGTGAAACTTGGGGGCAGTTTGGGGTTCCAACAGGACATTAAGCCCAAACACAAAGGTAAGGAAGGCTTTCCCAAAATCTCACATATGCTTTACCTAAAAAACTCTGGGTCATTTTAAAGAATCCACCTGATTTAAACCCCTTCATCTAATCCTGCTTGGAGGAGCAGCTAAAACTCTGACCGGAAAGCATGTTTTTGTTTCTTAAAATTGTCCCAGATCATTTTTACTATCATACTGGGATTCCTTTATTTTGCTGAACTTGTGTGAATTGGACAAAATCTGCAGTAAAAGCAAAGTTCTGCGACAAACATATATAAGAAATATCTTAAAATGTATTTATCTATTAATGAAGCATGGTTGGCAAAACTGCTGAAGATGTTTTCAATGTTTTATAACATGTAAACATGATGAATTAAAGGCACAGGTTATGAAGCTACTGCCTCTTCCCTGCCTTCATCATTTCTGCTGGTAGGTGGGACTGTCGAACCCGCTGTCCTGCTGTCGCTCCCTCAGCTCACCGAACAGAACCCTGAAGCGAGCCTGCTGCCCGTTTTCACACTCTGAGCCGGGGATCGGCTCTCTGACCAGACTCCTCTTTGCTTGAGCATCCTTTTCGGTCATAGGCGTCTGTTTGGGAATCTCCTCATACACTGTTAGGTCTGAACCATCTGGTGTGAGGCCCCCAAATGCTCCCATTTCACTCACAGTCAAAGGCCTCAGTGGTTCAACTGTCCTCCGGGGGTGTGACGTTCTGGCTACGTTTGGGCCAGAGTCTGAGTCACTGCTAGCCAGGCTCCAGTCCGCCTGCTTCTCATCTCTGACTGGAGCCTCCTGGACGAGGAAAGGTCGGCTGTGTCCAGCTGATTTTGCGCGGCTAACTGCTTTGTTTGAGTCGCCTCCTTGCAGAAGCCAATCGGAGCTTTTACCCGTCGAAGACGAAGCGACAAAATCCATGTGCTGTTGGGAAGATGTCTGCTGAGATTTGTAGGAAGGTGGGATGGCATTAAAGGTTTGGGGTTTTGACCCTGCGGCGTCTGAACCCTCCTGAGGGGCAGAAGTGTCCCGGTGGATTAAAAGTTTGCTTCCAGCTGCTGTGTTTGGCTTCAGCCCTGGATCCACGGAAGCGTTTACAGGTTGCTGCTCTGGCCTCAAATCAGGAAGTTTGTTTATTGCCGCCAGGTTGGTACTGAAACCAGCGCCTCCAGCTGGCAGGCCTCCAGCGGCGTTAGAGGATCCACCCGTCTGACAGCCTGCTGACACAAAACACAGACGCTGATCCCAGCAGATGTTTTTTTATGACGGAGTATCAGAGCCAGACTAGAGATTTTTTAATTTTGAGAATAAAGTCGTAACACTACGAGAATAAGGTCATCATATAATGCAAATTAAGTCATAGAATTACCAGAATTTAGAGAATAAAGTCTTAACATTACGAGAATAAAGTCATAACATTACGAGAATAAAGTCGTAACATTACGAGAATAAAGTCGTAACATTACGAGAATAAAGTCGTAACATTACGAGAAGAAAGTCGTAACATTACGAGAAGAAAGTCGTAACAGTGTGAGAATAAGGTCATCATATAATGCAAATTAAGTCATAGAATTACCAGAATTTAGAGAATAAAGTCGTAACATTACGAGAATAAAGTCGTAACATTACGAGAATAAAGTCGTAACATTACAAGAATAAAATCGTAACATTACGAGAATAAAGTCGTAACAGTGTGAGAATAAGGTCATTATATAATGTGAATTAAGTCATAGAATGACCAGAATTAAGAGAATAAAGTCGTAACACTACGAGAATAAAGTCGTAACATTACAAGAATAAAGTCGTAACATTACAAGAATAAAGTCGTAACATTACGAGAATAAAGTCGTAACATTACGAGAATAAAGTCGTAACATTACAAGAATAAAGTCGTAACATTACGAGAATAAAGTCGTAACAGTGTGAGAATAAGGTCATCATATAATGCAAATTAAGTCATAGAATTACCAGAATTTAGAGAATAAAGTCGTAACATTACGAGAATAAAGTCGTAACATTACGAGAATAAAGTCGTAACATTACAAGAATAAAGTCGTAACATTACGAGAATAAAGTCGTAACAGTGTGAGAATAAGGTCATTATATAATGTGAATTAAGTCATAGAATGACCAGAATTAAGAGAATAAAGTCGTAACACTACGAAAATTAAGTCGTAACATTACAAGAATAAAGTCGTAACATTACAAGAATAAAGTCGTAACATTACGAGAATAAAGTCGTAACATTACGAGAATAAAGTCGTAACATTACAAGAATAAAGTCGTAACATTACGAGAATAAAGTCGTAACAGTGTGAGAATAAGGTCATCATATAATGCAAATTAAGTCATAGAATTACCAGAATTTAGAGAATAAAGTGGTAACATTACGAGAATAAAGTCGTAACATTACGAGAATAAAGTCGTAACATTACAAGAATAAAGTCGTAACATTACGAGAATAAAGTCGTAACAGTGTGAGAATAAGGTCATTATATAATGTGAATTAAGTCATAGAATGACCAGAATTAAGAGAATAAAGTCGTAACACTACGAAAATTAAGTCGTAACATTACAAGAATAAAGTCGTAACATTACAAGAATAAAGTCGTAACATTACGAGAATAAAGTCGTAACATTACGAGAATAAAGTCGTAACATTACAAGAATAAAGTCGTAACATTACGAGAATAAAGTCGTAACAGTGTGAGAATAAGGTCATCATATAATGCAAATTAAGTCATAGAATTACCAGAATTTAGAGAATAAAGTCGTAACATTACGAGAATAAAGTCGTAACATTACGAGAATAAAGTCGTAACATTACAAGAATAAAGTCGTAACATTACAAGAATAAAGTCGTAACATTACGAGAGTAAAGTCGTAACATTACAAGAATAAAGTCGTAACATTACAAGAATAAAGTCGTAACATTACGAGAATAAAGTCGTAACATTACGAGAATAAAGTCGTAACAGTGTGAGAATAAGGTCATTATATAATGTGAATTAAGTCATAGAATGACCAGAATTAAGAGAATAAAGTCGTAACACTACGAGAATAAGGTCATTATATAATGCGAATTAAGTCATAGAATTACCAGAATTAAGAGAATAAAGTCGTAACATTACGAGAATTAAGTCGTAACACTACGAGAATAAGGTCATTATATAATGCGAATTAAGTCATAGAATTACCAGAATTAAGAGAATAAAGTCGTAACATTACGAGAATAAAGTCGTAACAGTGTGAGAATAAGGTCATTATATAATGTGAATTAAGTCATAGAATTACCAGAATTAAGAGAATAAAGTCGTAACATTACGAGAATAAAGTCGTAACACTACGAGAATAAGGTCATTATATAATGCGAATTAAGTCATAGAATTACCAGAATTAAGAGAATAAAGTCGTAACATTACGAGAATAAAGTCGTAAAATTACAAGAATAAAGTCGTAACATTACGAGAATAAAGTCGTAACAGTGTGAGAATAAGGTCATTATATAATGTGAATTAAGTCATAGAATGACCAGAATTAAGAGAATAAAGTCGTAACATTACGAGAATAAACCATTACGAGAATAAAGTCGTAACACTACGAGAATAAGGTCATTATATAATGCGAATTAAGTCATAGAATTACCAGAATTAAGAGAATAAAGTAGTAACACTACGAGAATAAGGTCATTATATAATGCGAATTAAGCCATAGAATTATCAGAATTAAGAGAATAAAGTCGTAACATTACGAGAATAAAGTCGTAACACTACGAGAATAAGGTCATTATATAATGCGGATTAAGTCATAGAATTACCAGAATTAAGAGAATAAAGTCGTAACATTACGAGAATAAAGTTGTATTTTATAAGAACTCTTCCAAGAAGCCCTTTCTTCCCTAAAATGAGGAATGTGGAGCATCATGTGAAGTTATATTTTAGCATCGGTTTGACAAATCGGGAAATCTTTTAGCAGCAGCTGATTGGTGGAGCTGGTCGGCCGTCATCTGCTGGGCGGAGCTCCAAGCTTTCTTTCTGAAACGGTTTGCTGTATGATGACTTCATTCTCATAATGTCACGACTTTATTCTCGTAATATTACAACTTTTTTCTCATAATGTTACGGCTTTATCCTCAAAATAAAAAACTAAAACAAATCTCAACTTGGCCCTAATATTGCGTCTTGGTTTTGGGGGTAAAAATCAAAGCAGTTTAAAAAAAAACAGAACTCACTTTGTAAAACGTAATTCTTTCCGGATTTACTTTTAACAGGAGTTTCCAGCACCTTAGCCATGGCCGCCAGCTTGCTTGCAGCACTCATTATTTTCTTCTCAGCACTGCAGAAGACAGAAACATCAATGCAATTAGCCTGAGGAGAAATTTTGCAGCAAGTGAACAAGTTTGGGACAATTAAAGCCTCTTGCCCCGTAGTTTTCCCCCCGTCCTCCAGTAACTCCTGCAGACAGGTCAGATAATAGTGCCTCATCTTTCTGGCCGTGTCCTGTCTCTCTCTCTGCACCTCGATGCGGATCATCTCTGCCGCACGGCCTCGACTCTCCTGCAGGTAACGCAGCATGTCTCCTAGCAGAAAGACACCGTTGGTTTTGTTTCATTTAATGTCACAAACTGCAGACTGCTTAGGATTTAAGTTTCAATAACCTGTATACGGTACTGTGCATAAAATTCTGTCTCACTCTCAACACTAACCTCTGATCTTTTCTACAGTGATCAGGTATTGCTGCTTCATCTCCTCGAGGGCTTGCTGGAGGTCAGAATTTCTATTGGGAAAAAAAACAACAACATAAACAAAAACAGATAAGAATTTAGAAATTAGCTTCCGACTGTGAGCTTCTAACCATTAGGTCTTCTATAGTGATGTTATGAGAAGTCGAGGCTTTGAGGCGTTTGTCGAATACCGGAGGTGGCGTTTCCCCAAAGCGCGTGTCAAGGCATGATTCATCTAGGGGCGGGGCCAAAATTGATGACGTTGATACCGTGGTTCGGACCACGCGAGGACTTTGCCAGGCATTTAAACAGCCTCAGTATTCAGTCAAGATTCGGGAGTTTGTAGAAGAGTTTGTGTCAGCTGGATAGAGTTTGGATAGATTCTAAGACTAGACTGGCTGGAAAAACAACCAATCTAGTTGGTTAAAACTATTTTGGTTAGATTAAACAATAGCAGGCATCCCCAAAGTGGGTCCTGGAGGGCCGCTGTCCTGCAGGTTTTAGAGGTTTCCCTGCTCCAGCAAAGCTGATTTCCATCGATAGCTGATTAACTTCAACCATTAGAATCAGCTGAGCTCGAGGACCCGACTTTGGGGGATGCCTGAACAATGAAATAATCCAAATCTGAGCAGGTCATTGGTTACAGGTGTAACATTAGTGCTAAGTAGTATTGTTTTCTGTTGAGCAGTGACTATTGCCAGAGGCGTCAGCTGTATGATACTGACTTCCACTCCTGAGGTTATTGGTTCGAATTCCTCCTTAGACTTTTAAAAGTTGCGTTAATACTTAACAAGTATTTTGGAAAATGAGACTAATTTGTATTGGTTTGCCCTAGTACGAATTAACCTGACTCCGCCAGATGGATTTGCTCCGCATATCCTGGAAACCTTCTGTTGAAGTAATTTTGGGAAGGGGCGAAAATACTGGTTAGCTGATTGGCCTATGTTGGTGATAGACGGGCCAAATAAACCAATCAGATCAACGAGGCATATGACGTACTAACAGAGCGACGACGAAAACACAACCACAAGCCAGGCTACTCTTGCTGAAACCAGTCGGGAGAAGAGCAAAAACATCTTTCCTCTGAGAAAAGCCTCCAGAGCAGTGTTTTGCTCTTCTTTCAGTGAAGAAATACTCTGTAATCCCGATAAAACTTGCTTGATAGCCACGCTAACGCTAGTTTCATCGGCTGAAGCCGCCATGTTCTTTAGACTGAACTGTCGCGCTTCTCGTTGCTTCACACCTCAACCCGCCTCAAAGCCAACGCTGATTGGACGTTCGTTTGATGAACGGCTCCAAATTGTCTTTAACGGAGAGTCTCCAGACTGATTAGCGAGTGAAACCTTGAAAGCTCGCGAGATCAGGATGGTCTCACGAGGCTAAGTACGAATATGGATTGGGTAAAAACACTGCCAGTGGTATAACCAAAAGATTGGTTGAACACATAACTCCCAACCCAATTAAAACCAAAAACTGTGGAAAAACAATCATGTTTGAATACCAATGACTCACAATTTTCACTGTCTGCTTGAGTTTATTTCACTAAAATGGCAGAAAAACAGTGTACCTTAAATGGCTGTTCTCTTCTAATACTTTTTTACACACACAAAAAAAAAAAACTTACAAAAGGTTTTATAATACAGAACATTCATTCATTAACAATTTCAAAGGAACTTGAATGGGAAAAAAACAAGAGCAATCGCAAAAATTCATAATTATAATACTAACTGTAGTTCTGCACTCCACCAGTAGGTGGAGACATGTTCACATGAAGCTTCATGAACTGCGTCATCATTGAAGCAATGAGCCCAAACGGCTTCATCTCACCATCACTAGTCTTCTGGTACAGAGCTATAAATGCTGCAAACTTTTAGATCTTTGGTTTACAGCAGCTGTGAAATTACTTCTTTACTGAGTTCCTATAATTATTGTATATCCTGTAATTATTGTAATTATTATTTTGCATAAACATCCCTGTTTTTATTGGGATTTTTGTACAGACGGGTATATATTAAGCTTCAATTGTGATGTGAAGAAAAAATGATAAATTCTAGGATTATCAGATTTTTAAATGGACACTCAAAGCATCCCTATCTCTGCTAAAAGAAAGCTGCCATGTTTCCCGAAGGTTTGAAGCAGGCAGGTTCAGTTTGTTCGTTTTGCTGCCTACAGGCCAAAAAGCTCAGCTTCAAGCTCCTCTCAGCAGAGATCTTCCAGATGTCTCCCATTTCCCCTATGTGGCTTGTGCAAAACTGCAATTAATCATGGATTTTTTTTTCTTAACACTCTCCCAGAAAATAAAAAGATTTATGAAGCACATGACTAAACCGTTGTTAAACAAAATGCTGTCAGGATAAGAGCAGAGAAAGGATGGATGGAAAACAAACCCAGAGGATTCTTTAGCTCTCTTCACTTCCTCCAACTGCTGCAGGTGCTCCTCTTTCAGCTTCTGCATGCTGCCTTCATGCTCATCTGCATTTCAGGAAAAAGTAAAACGTTTCAGATTCAGTTAAAAAAAATTAAAAAAACAATCCATTGGACTTTGTTTCCAAGTTTGAGGATGTTTCTCTTCCCATTCAGGAAGATTTTTCAATCCAAATGTCAGCAATAGCGTTGAGTACAAGGCTTTATACAGTAGCCAAACAAAGTAAATTGAAACGGACGGTCCACCCCTTTGAAATGGGGGTCATTTGGCTTCCTTTGTTAGCCTGCAATGCCCCATACCTGTCTATGTCTCTGAAAGGGGGTCGTTAAAGGGAATTGTTGGCCGGCCGAATAGGTGAGGTCTTCTGTTACTCTGTAAAGGGTTTGGGGTTGCGATCATTAACTCAACAACTCAATTGCTGCATTGCAGGTTTTTAAAAGCTGAAATCTGACTCCACCCCCCTGTATAAAGTCGTAGGGAAGCGGCTGTTCCAACCGTTGCATTTCTGAATTCTCCCGAGTGGTGCCCGACTTTACACGAGTGAATAAAGTGAATTGGTTATCTTGGGGGCGGGATTGTTGTGGAGGAAGGTTCATAAGCTTTTTGGTTGTAGCCGGTTTCAGGAGCATCTTGCTAACCAGTTAGGAACTTAGCGCTAGCAGGTTCCCAATGGGAAATTCCATTGGGACCAAGTAGCACTAAATTGGTTACTTAGAAACGACGCTGTCAAGGAACGCTATGGACAGCGGAAACATGCAAGAGGAGGAGAGTTTAGTGTCGGAGGTCGTGGATGAGTCTCCTCCGTCATCCATTTTTAATTTAGAGGAGGAAAGCGGGGACGAAGATGTTGTGGAAGAGGACGTCAGGGCGGCAGAAGCTTGGTTTGGTGTAGGCTTCCAGCCGTACATGTTTGAGCCCTTGCCTCGCAACGCTGCCAGTTCTGTTAGCTCTACGCCTGCCGAAGACACAGACGTCCATCCCCGTGAACACTGGGACGCAACTCAATGGGAAAGGAAAGGATTCTGGTTTCAACCGTTGCGTATATTAGCTGCGACATATGAATCAAGATGCTATGACTGAAAAAATTTGATTGACAGATGACCGTTGATATAAGATTGGCTGAATTTAGGAAAAAATAGAAATTTCTAAATTTTGGGACAATATCGTCTGATAAAGAGTACATTTATATACATGTTTAAGCCAGAATAATTTGACATTTGAATATGATTTTCCTACGACTTTAAGGCTGGTTTTTCTTTCTCAACATAGATGGCTTCCTTCACCCCCCTCTCAAACCATCTATCTTCTTTGTCCTTCACCAGCATATTCAGATTCGGTTATTTACGTTTCAGACAAATGTTTACCAAAATGCATACCTTTAAGAAGCTGAATGGCGGTTTTGTGTTCACGGATGCGGTGCTGAAGTTGACGGCAGGCTTTCTCTAAATGTCTCTGGAGCTCCTGATTCTTCTTCTGCAGCTTCCCGAGGCTTTCGGTGCATTCCTTCATGTAACATGACCGCTCCTTCCTCTGAGACAAAGACTCTGGAGACGATGAACAATAATTGGTCAGAAACTAAACATTGTAAAGACATAATAACGATGTGATATTCTATATAGGGGTGCATTACACACCTTGTATTTTGTGGACTTCTCTTGTGTGTCTCTCTTGTGTTTCTTTTAGGATGCTGCTCAGCTTCTCTTCACTTGTCTGTAAAAGTAAAAATAATAATAAACTAAGCAGAAACCCACTTATTGCAGATCATGGAAAAATAAAAGGTTAACGGAAACATACTTTCTTCCACTCCTTCTTAGCCTCCAATACTGCCCTCTTCACCATTTCTCTACACGCGGTTTCAATGATGTTTGTGATTGCTGCTTGTGATGGAGACCTGCTGCTGCTCCTTTCATCTACAGACTGCTGAAGCTCTGCTCCAGAAGGCCTTAGAAGTTGTGTAGAGACGTCGGCCACGGCAGCCTGAAGCTCTGATAGAAACTGTTCCTTTATCTGTTGTCGTTGGGCCAGCTCCTTCTCTGCATACTGGCGTCTCCACTCCTCTTCTCGCGTCCTTAGAGCCTGCTGAAGCTTGGCCTCCATCTGCAGAAGCAGCTCCTTCCTCTGGAGGTCAGCATCTTCTCGGACTCCCTGCACAGCCTGCTCCAGGTTTTTGCACTGCTCCAGCAGCTTGGTTTGGTATGCTTGCTGGTTTTGGGCTTGGATGATGGAGATCTCCTGCTGTTTGTCTCTGTGCCACGCTGCTCGGGCTGCAGCTAGCTCAGCTTTCAGCAGGGCGGCTTGCTCTCTGCTGGCTTGCTCTAGCTGGCTCTTCAGAGCTGCCAGCTCCTCCTGAGGATGCTCCACTTGCTTCTTGTGCCGCTCCTCCTCTGCTTCCCTCAGGGCCTGGGACACCTGAAACATTAAAAGATTGAAATAAGGGAAGGATTAACACCGTTGACCATAATCATAAAAAATCCTGCTCATACTTTCTGCCTTGTGACTTCTTCCTGCAGCTCTTCCCATTTCTGCTTTTCTCTTTGGAGAAGTGTTTGATGCTCCGGTAGGGAAGGCAAATCCTCAATCCAGCGGCTGTAGGCCCGGGTTACAGCCCCTTCCACCTGAAAAACAAAAGTTCAAATATCTACCACCAAGCTTGATCTTTTAGGAAAAGTAAATTATGTAGAAAATTTATCTTCAAAATATTTCTACAGTTTAATCCCTGCTGGTGTGAAATCATCCTTCCTTTGTCATCATAACCCAGGGGTCGGCAACCCAAACTGCTCAAAGAGCCATATTGGACCAAAAAAATAAAAAAAAATCTGTCTGGAGCCGCAAAAATGTAAAAGCCTTATAAAAGCCTCGTATAGCAACACGGGCTCTGAGTGTTTGATCCCACTATAGAAAAGGACTATATGGGCTTAAACTAGGGATGCATGATATTGGGATTTTGGCTGATATCCGATATTTTAAAACTCATGTAGCCGATAACCGATATCGATACCGATGTTAAAGCTGGACAAAAATAAGTAGTCATTGAAAATAGCAGTTTTGTTATCAATTCTGACACTTTGAAAAATAATATACTCAAATATATTTTCATATGCTGATATCAAATTGATTTTTAAAAACGCGGTATCGATCTATTTTACTTTCAAAATCTCGTGAAATTTCATCGTTCTGTTACAAACTCTCGTGATATTTTGCAAATTCTTGTGAAATTTTGTTAGTAAAATAGATCGATACCGCGTCAATATATCAACATATAAAAATTTTGTGAATTTTCGGGGGATTTCGTAGCATAACGATGACATATAGCAATATTTCATTAGTAAAGAGATTGATATGGTGTTTTTAAATGGCAATATATCAGCATATCAAGATATTGGGATATTTTAATGTATCAATATTTTTTCCCTCGTCTTTAGAAGTTTTTAAGTCTGTAAAAAAGAAGTTTTTGAGGAAGAAGAAGAAGTAGTATTTTATTTCTTTTTTTTTTGGACTTTAGAAACTCAGAAGCTGATCAAATATCGGGTTAAATATCGGTGGGGTGGCCGATGTCCGATACTCAGTTTTAAGGCCGATACTGATAGGAGGCCGATTATATCGTGCATCCCTAGACTATATAGGCTTAAATTAGGGATGCACGATATAATGGGCCCCCTATCGGTATCGGCCTTAAAACTGAATATCGGACATCGGCCACCCCACCGATATTTAACCCGATATTTGATCAGCTTCTGAGTTTCTAAAGTCTAAAAAAAATAAAAAAAATACTACTTCTTCTTCTTCCTCAAAAACTTGTTTTTTTACAGACTTAAAAACTTCTAAAGACGAGGGAAAAAATATTGATACATTAAAATATCCCAATATCTTCATATGCTGATATATTGCCATTTAAAAACACCATATCAATCTCTTTACTAATGAAATATTGCTATATGTCATCGTTATGCTACGAAATCCCCCGAAAATTCACGAAATTTTGGCATATTTTTATATGTTGATATATTGACGCGGTATCGATCTATTTTACTAACAAAATCTCACAAGAATTTGCAAAATATCACGAGAGTTTGTAACAGAACGATGAAATTTCACCAGATTTTGAAAGTAAAATAGATCGATACCGCGTTTTTAAAAATCTATTTGATATCAGCATATGAAAATATATTTGAGTATATTATATTTCAAAGTGTCAGAAATGGATAACAAAACTGCTATTTTCAATGACTACTTATTTTTGTCCAGCTTTAACATCGGTATCAATATCGGTTATCGGCTACATGAGTTTTAAAATATCCGCATATCGGATATCGGCCAAAATCCCAATATCCTGCATCCCTAGCTTAAATATATAATAAGCATTCACGATTAAATGTTTATCCTGAAGCAAATGTCACATAGTAGCCTGAGGTGACGGAGGAACAGTGAACGCTCACACCGCTTCACCGCCTTCACTGCGCGGTTTAAGTTTTCTTGCAATGATGAAATTATAGAAACACAATAAAGAAATCTTTCTATGGTGGACGTGTTTCTGTTGGGAGGAGTTTATTGAGTCATGAGGAACCAAGCAGGAAGTGACATCAGAGCTGTGCTCTCTAACCCCGAAATCCCACCCTAACCCTGTCACCAGCGTTCCTTGGTCTGATTAATATTTTTAGGATTTGGGTAAAAAAAATGGAAGAAAGTTCAGATACCTGCATCAGAGCGCTACCTGTTTGATCTGTGGATGGTTTTCCATCCTTGCAACAAAACAAAATTCTTCAATCGCACTTTTTCTCTCCCTCCCAGCTTGGTGGTGGGCTGCAGATTTAGCCTTCCCTGGAAATGCCTTTCCAAATTTTTATTTTTTTATTTTTGACACCCTCTCATTACAAAGCGAAAATGCAGGCAAATGTTCAGCATTGATAATGAAGGCAAATGAGTCGGCCTATTTGAATCCTCTTTCCTCATCAGCAATCATCCTTTTTTCCCTTTGGGATTCATATTCTGAGACACACCTACAGCTGTGTTAGCCTGGCACCGCGCCGTGCTGGTTCTAAGTTATGATCACTGATCTCTATGGCTTTGACGCCAATTATTGTTTAAATTTATTTATAATACAAATGTTTAAAGCATTGGTAAACATTAATTTTTGTTTGCAAGCTGCACACCATATTAAAAAAAATAATAAAATTTTCATAAATTTTTGAAAAAGCTCCAGGGAGCCACAAGGGGGAGCTAAAGAGCCGCAGGTTGCCGACCCCTGTCATCCCCCCCCCCATTCACCTGCTTGGCCATGTCGTTCAGGTGTTTCTCTTCCAACTCTCTCTGGATTCGTTTTTTGGCTTCCTCCACAGCTTTGCGTTGCTCTTTGTCAGCTTCCTGTTTCTGGGCAGCGAGCCTGGCGTCCAGCTCCTCAGCAGAAACTGCGTGACCGTCTGCCTCCAGCTCTTCTGTTTGGCACGTCGCCTCAGCAGTGTCTGAGTTTCTCTCCCTCTTAGCCTCCTCCAACTTCTGAGCCCAGGTCGTCTCTATCTGCACCCCGGCAGACGTAAAAAGTATCAAATTTAATCAGATGAGGTAAAATAAATCAGCTGGGTAGCATTCGTTTGAGAAGTCAGACCTTTTGAAGTTCCATCTTCCATTTGGCGTCTGTGGAAGCTACATGAGAGCTCACTTCCCGCTGCATTTCAGCCTGTTTCTCCTTGGACCATTCTTCTTTAAGCTTCATCACTGAGACCTGATGCTGAGCCTCCAGTTCTCCTCTCAGCTTTCCAGCAGTCCTACTACTCTCTTCCTTCTCTCTCTTCTGTATCGTTTCCTCCAGGAGACACTTCTCGTTGCACACAGAGATGTAACATTCCTGCACAGCCAGCATCTTATCACTGACTTCTGACAGCTGGTTTCTGTAAATGAAGATAAAAGTGATGCATAAATGAAGTGTTAATGAGAAGAGCTTCCAGGATCAGGATGTGAGACTTACTGCAGCTCCTGAATCTGCTGCTGGTGCTGCGCAGTCAGCCGCTCCAGCTCAGCGCTGTGCTCCGTCATGAGCTCTGTTCTGACCCGCTTCACCACATCATCTCTATACTGCTGATTAATCCGCTCAGTCCTATCAAAAAAAAACAATGCAAATGATCCACCATGAATATATTATTCAAAGAACTATGATGTAATCGGGGTTTCTGTGAGGCTGACCTTTCAGCAGCTTCCTGTTTTTCTTGGTCCAGTTCTTGGATCATTTCCCTCATTTTGGTGCACAGTTCAGAGTTGGTACATTTCAGCTTTTCCTCATTCTGTTTTAACTCCTTATTCTTTGTTTCGAGTAACTTCATGTTGAAAAGATAAAAAATTAAGTATTTTATTTAATTACAAAAAAGAAAACTATACACACACCTACATATATATAAAAAACTCCATCCAACCTGGACTTTTTCCAGCAGGCTTTGTTTCTCCTCCTGCATCCTCAGCATCTCTTTCTGTGCTCCTTCGGTCATGTCCAGGTGTGTCATCGGGTCGGTTTCTCTGGCCTGTGGAGGTCCAGTAAAATATTTTGCAATGCCTTAAAAACTGTTGATGAAGTGTTTATCTTGGGTTGCTACAGAATAAACCAACAGAAACGTTTCAACATTTATAATTTTCACGTTTCAAATGTTTCTACAAAGAGTAAAATATAGTTTATATTCAGTGTTGTGTACTAGAGACTAGGGCTGGGCGATATGGAAAAAAAACTATATCCCGATATGGATTATTTTATATCACGATAACGATATATATCACGATATACCACAACTGCATTTTATGTTTTCATAGTCCGTCAGATGGACAGGGTTGAAAAAAATCTTTCATCGCCTATTTTTTACCCATCATCTTGTTTCCTAATATGAGAATCCCAACCCCAAACCAAGAACACCAGTTATGCAATTTGCGGCCATGACAGTGAACAGTATAGAATCTTGGCTATTGCGCTGCAGTAATTAATCATTTAATATTCGTTTGTTATTGACATTTTATAAAATTCCAAGGCCAGGTTTTTCTCTTGTCTTTCACTTACCTTGTTTTCCACTAGGAGGGTCCAGTCCTTGATGAAATGGATGGTGAGATTCATATAAGGCTGTGTTGCTCTACTCATCCACATGTCCGTAGTCAACGCATAATGCGTCGCACTGCGTACCTCTCTCTCCACTTCAGCCCGACAACTAGCATATAAGCCAGGCAGCTCCACTTTACTGAAATGTTTTCGACTAGGCATCACATATCTGGGATCGAGTGTACGGACGAGGTCCCGAAAGCTGTCTTTCTCGACTATGTAAACGGGGGCCATGCCTTTACAGATATAGCGTGAAATAGCACCTGTGATCTGCTTGTGTCGCTGAGACGTCTTCTCATATTGTGATCCTTGGGCGAATGCTTCCTTAAGCTTCGGCTGTGAGAATTTCTTTCCAGTGCTTCCTGTATTTTCATCCCTTGTTTGTTTTGATCGGAGTGGTTGTAGTTTCCCGTGTTCTTGTTCATGATTTTTCTTCAGGTGGTAAAAGAGGCCGGAAGTATTTGCATCAGCCGCTGGAACGGCTTTGCTGCACAGTTTACATATCGGTTGCGTTTGTTCTTTATCAGATGGCTGAAATCCGAAATATAACCAAACAACCGAGCTGCCTCCCCTTTTGGGCAAAAGTGGTGTTTGTTGTGTCTGTGACCTGGCAACCGTTTCGGACTCTGTAACCGCTGCTGTGGTAACATCTTCTTGGGTGTCCCATCATTAATTTTTTTTCAAGCCAGAAAGAAATTTCGCGGGCTCTCTCCGTCAGTAATGTCGTATGGTGCAAAGCCGCGTGACGTAAAGCGGTGTAGTGTCGCAAAACCACGTTCTCTACACATTATCTTTTTATTCTCTTTTTTTTTCGTTATATACACTTAGAGTTTGCATAGCAAAAACGCAAAATGTTATATTAACAAATTATATTAAAATGTATATTAGCAGTAATAATAATAATAAAGAAGTTTATCACGATAGAAAAAATAGAGGAGAAAGGTCACGATAGACATGTTTCTCTCGTCCTCACGATATATATCGCCATATCGCCCAGCTCTACTAGAGACTGTCATTTTTTGGGGAATCCCACGGGTCACGGGATTCCCGTGGGATTCCCGTGGGATGGCAGTCAGTATTAGTAACGATCACGTGATTAGGACGGTACAGGATTAAACATTAACGGGAGCACACGGGAGCGGGAGCAAACCAATAGTAACTAAAAAAAACTAGGATCGATGCCAAAAAATAAAATAAAATAGAAAAAAAAAATCCAGTACTGGCGCCATTTTGTAGTTTTTTTCCTTGAAGCCTACACTATAATGCGAGTCAAAAAAACTACACGACCCAAAAACCAACAGTGCTTCCGCTCTGAGTTTTTCACCCGCGCTAAAAAAAAAAACAAGAATGGGAGTGGTGAAGGAGCGGGATTCCTTCTGAATGGGAGCGGGATGGGAGTGGGAGTAATTTCACCAGGAGTGGGACGGGACACTATTTTTTTCTGTGGGAGTGGGACGGGACAGGAGTGAAAATCCACTCCCGTGTCAGTCTCTATTGTGTACCCAGCCACTAATGGGACACCAACACTGCACAGCAAAAACCCTCCTGACTCGGAGCTACGGCGAGGGCAGCATTATGCTGAGGGGAAGCTTTCCTAAAGACGGGGCTAGTGTGGCTTAGAGGACGCAGACAATCCTAGAAAGGAAATCCCTTTAAGGCTGCTAAAGACTTGAAGGTTCAAAACAGGAATATCATACTAATGACCCGGTGTTCTGTCAGATGAAACAAAGGTACTGTTAGGTTTATTCTTTATAAATCATGTGCATTGTTACTTTATTAGCCAGATTAGACAGAGTAGAAGGAATTCCTTCACAATGTGGATGTCACTGTGTGTACGGAGGTCATCTAATCAGGACAGCCTTCGTGTCTTTAAAAATACACAGGATATGGGCACATCTTGCAGCCAGTCTGATAGAGGAGATGTATCTGTAATCCTTGGGCATGGATGGCGTGTCAGTTTCTGATACAGACAGCTAAGCATCCACCTGGTGCACCACATAGACTCATAAGCTATAAGAAGCAGGAGAGGACCTTGTTCGGGGCTCAATCTTTGCCGGACCCTCACTGAAGTTTTTTTAGGCCCACAGCTCTGCAAGCTCCAAGAATGTTCTCTGTCCTGTAACGACCTGACCTGGAATAAACGATGTTACTTTTTTACTCCTGTTTTTATAGTCTTTTTTACATGGTTTTACCCAGTTTGAGTTAAGAGTAGTAAATAACTTGCTCCCAGGAAAAGAAGCGGTGGGGAAGTTCTGAGGCGCAACTGTCTTCAATGGAACATAACTTCCTCATTTAACAGCACCAGATCTGCTCGTGGCCCCGCCCCTTCTTAAGCGTCATCATATGGCAACACCACTCGGACAAACTATATTGCACCCGTTTCTAAGGATCAACATATTATTACCAATATTTGCTATTATTTTACATTCCATCGGTGATTTAAAGAAGCTGAAAGTAGAAAACAATCATTGTCAGTCTTGAAGAAAAAATATTGCGTTCTAAGGCCGAGCTCTGCCATTTAACAAGGTGACAAAAAAAGTCTCAGCTTATTTCTATTCTATTCAAATGGAACATCTTAAAAAAAGGCTTGTAGAGATTTTAGACAAATAAAACTGTTATTCTAATTGTAGAAAATGAACAGTTGTTGACAAATTTAAAAGCTGTGTAGCTTAATATGGCTAAGTGACCGAGCTAAAAGAGGCTAACCTGTTAGCTACTGAGCACAGCTAGCTACAGCGCTACCCGGCTCCCCCCCTTTATATCATGGTCTAACAGTTACTTTGTTCACCAGAAACAGATTTTTTTCTGCTTTTTTATCAATCAAGTAAAACTTCATCGGTCATTAGACACGCTAACGCTACAGATGCTCCTGACTCGGCACACGGACGCTGCGTGATGTTATTATCGTTGTCAGGGTAACCACAATGCTTTACATCATGTGGCAACATTCAGCCAATCACGTAGTGTAACGTCATTGGCATGAAGCAGGACCCCAGCAGATCTGGTAGCTACACCGGCATGTCCCGGTCCAAACCCACACTCAAATCGGGGAGTGCTGGCCGAGTGGTTAGAGTTCAATCCCAGTTCAATCGTCACAGCCTCCAGTCTGGGTTCCTGATTAAAGACTGTTAATCGCACACTGCTCCCCGGGTGCCACACAATGGCAGCCCATGAATTTCCCCATCGTGAGACAATAAAGGGATTTACATTAAGACATTACATCAAACCAACTGTCAGTCTGAAAAAGTAGCTGCATTGAATAGCGATTCCACACAGAAACTGATTCAATACCACGGCACTCCACACGTTTCAAGATTTTGTCTGGTAAAAATATCAATGCTGTTTTTTTTCCTGTTTCGCATCAGAACTATACGCAACTCTGATTTTATCCGTCACATTAAGCCTCATTAAAAACATTAAATTTAGTAGTTGTTCTGTGACAAAATCTGAAAAAGAGGGGAGGAGGATTCTCTCTACAAGCTCATGTGCTGGTTAATCAAACGTAATCTTTAAAACCATTAATCCATGGGGGGGGGGGTCCCTTACTGCAGAGCTTCGCTTCGCTTCCTCCAACTCGGCCAGCAGCTCACGAACCCGAGCCTGAGATTGTTGGAGCTCGTCCTGCAGCTGATTGATCTTCTGTCTCTTCGCCTTCAGACACCCCAGGCAGCGCTGCATTTCCATGCGCAGCAGCCGCAGAGCTTCTTCCTTGGGCAGTTTGGAGTCTGACAGGTGATTCAGAACAGAACTGGAGAAACAGAAGAACAAACTTTGAGTCCCAGGAAAGCAGGTGGAGCTGTGATGCTGTGTGTAAGCGTCATTTACACTACCCTCTAAAACCGATCCGTGCCGAGCTCGGACCAAACTTGGCTCAGTTAACCGTGCCAAGCTTGGTTCCTTATGACCGTTTACAGCTCATGCTAGCATGGTTCCTCGCCTCCTAGTGATGATTTACGGTACTACTGCTCTCTAGGAGTCTCTAGACACCTGAAGTTGGTTCCTCTCAGTTTCTTGTATCATATTCAGCTGATTTGTTGGTGACATTGGATTGGAAAGCGCTATGTTTATTCCTCTGTAACTCTTTATTAACACCTAAATTAACTTAAAAGGTAGTAGCCTGCCGGCAAAAATATATTTGCTTTTATTATTCTGGTGCCTGCAGTTTGGATTACGTACAGGAAAACCGCTTATATCTCCTTTCAACCGCAAAGAACAGTAGAGGGAAACCTCCAAGAGGCGAGCGGGCCTGAAGCAGCTGCTGCTGGGGATTCCCAGTGACAGCGCACCGCCGGTATGTGGGGGTCTGAGCTACGGAAGAGGATTAGGGCCACTGGAAAAAAAAAAAAAAAAGTTAACTGATTTTTACATTTTATTTCAGTTTAGTACGGAAAAAAGTCAGAATTCTGACTTTAATCTCAGAATTCTGATTTTAATCTCAGAATTCTGACTTTTTTTCTCAGAATTCTGAATTTTTTTTCTCTCAGAATTCTGACTTTAATCTCAGAATTCTGACTTTTTTGAATTGACAATAAAAAAAAACTTTTTTCCTAAAATATTAAACTGAAATAAAATTAAAAAATCAGTTAACATATTTTTTTCAGTGGCCCTAATCCTATTCCGTACAGAGCGGCTCTGACAGTGAAAAAATATTTGAAGGCAGGATGGTAATCTGGATGAACTGACTGCACAGACGGTATTTTCAGGTGAAGTTCCTCGTTTAAAAATATATTAAAGCTATACTATGCAACCGGTGTTGATTTTCCAGCGAGGCTCCCCCCAGAGGGCGAAAGTAAAAGTGCACTGTCGTAAATATGCACAGCTGTTCTCCTGGTTTCTCCGTCAAGCCAGGCGCGGTTGTTTTGAGCTTAGCAGACAGGTGAACGCAACGAATCACCATGTCTACTGCGGTAAGTGACTATTTTGCTGTTTTGTTTTCATACATTATTTGTCATGCATGTGTCTAAATAACAAAGATTGTAGTTAGCCAAATTCTCGCCGTAAAGCAAGACTGACTCTCGCGATGCACGAGACTTCTGAGCCTGTGGGTGCGGGCCGAGGGCTCCTGCATTTGCAAGTGCGGTATTTCCTCTACAGACCACCAGGGCGGCGGAGAAAACCTTTGTTCGACCTGAAATAACTAATTTAATCATCCAAAACGTTATGGAACACATTAATTAACTGAAAAATGTTGCATAGTATGCCTTTAAAACTACTTTTCACCCACTGATCACAGCAAATTTAGCAAAGCCGCTCTCTGCTATTTAACACAGGAGCAGCAGAAGCACCAAGCCGACTGTAAGGAGATGACGCAGTCTGCTCATGCGCTCTTTGTTATCAGAGAACCGAGCCACAGATTAACCAAGCCCTGCTGTTGAACTGGTACTAGTTTAGGGCGGTTGAGTTTGCGTGCCGTTACCTCGGTTACCGTGCTCGGACCGGTCTCGGCAGGGTTTCAAAGTGTAGTGTAGATGGGGCTACAGACCCCCAGTGATCATGGAGTACCTGTGAAGGGTGCCGTTCTTCCTTTCAGGCTTCTTCAGTCCCAGATCTATGCAGGACTCAGACAGATGGGTCTCCGAGTCGTTAGTTGGGTCAAATGCTACTATGCCATGTTTTAATGCAGATTCATATAGATTAATCTGCTCTTTCAGCTCAGCCACATCTTCCTTTAAGATAAAAAAAACCGTTCACCAGTATAAACAGTGTTGTTTAGATGCATTTCAAAATGGGTGTCTTTACTATTAATAAATACAAAAAACAAGAACAAACCTGTAAAACTTTGTTCATGTTTTCACTCAGTGCCTTCGCCGACTGGGCTTGTTGTAGTTTGATCTGCATTTGGCTCATTTCTTGCACCGAATCTGAAGAAAAATAAACAAAGCAACTCAACAACGACAGACAGACAGACAGACCAACCGACCATACTATGAAAATATTTACTCCTTAGAGCAGAGTTCTTCAACGTTTTCCAGGCTAAGGACCCCCAAACTGATGGCTAATGTAACTAAAGTAATCCCTCCCCGGGATTATTAAAGTATTTCTGATTCCTGGTTGATGGGACAGGTGTTGTGAATGAAACGGTGCCCAGCTTGAAAGAGCTCCTGTGTGTCGCTGAATGTGAGCATTGATGACTGAAAGACATCTTCTGCCTCCATTTATCTGTTTACTACAGTCTGTTGAATTCATGTTCATGTGGATTTAAAGACATTTCAATTAGGGGGGAAAATTGCAGGGGGGGAAATATAAAAAAAAAAAAAAAGTCTTATCAACAAAAACTTTCGGGACCCTCAAGCAGTACCTCCATGGACCCCCTAGGGGTCGTGGACCCACTGTTACAAACCTCTGCCCTGTAAGATTCCTTAATGCATTTCCTTAGGGCTCTGTCACCTTGCCAATTTAGCCAGCGTAAGTCCGACGTCGCGGAATCTCCTAAAACGCTGGCATAAGCTGAACTTTCAGTGTATTTTTTTCAATTTTGGACGTATACATAGCGTATTCATAACAAGTCCAGACCTTATGTCCAACGACAGCCTAACTAGATGATGCGTACGATGATACTGCCCGCCAAAAAAAAAAGAAAAAAAAAAAAAGGTGAATAATAATCAAACAGAAAAAGAAAGAAATGGCAGTGTCTTCTAGGAAGTTTGTTGGTGGTGGGCGTGAACGCAGGGAGGATTCTTCACGCTCTCCTTCTGGAGATGGGGATGAGGTCTGGAGGAGAAGTTACTCGTAGGTTCTGGATAAGCTGGACGCCACAACTTATGAGTAACTTACACTTAACGTATGTCAACGATCAGATAACTTACCTGTAACTTATGCCCCTCCTTTTGGCATACGCTGGGACGATGTAGTCGGCATACGTCTAAGTTTGCCAGTGTGTTTCAGCGTGCTCATAACTTATACATAACGTACCCATAACTTATCCAGGGCATGCCAGCGTTTTGGCCAGATTTCCTTACGTTAGTCATACGCTGGTCTAAATCGTCAAGGTGTGACAGGAGCTTTAAGCTTAAACACTTTGGTGTGCCACCAAAGTTTGTATGTAAAAAAGTAATCAACCCCCTAAACCTAATCACTGCTTGGAAAAGTCCTGAAAAGGCAAAGTAGTATCAGATTATATGACAGTTTTGTCTCCTAAGTGCTGAGAAATTTTTCCTAAACGTTTTAGGGATCATCAAGATTTTATTCTAGTAAATGTCAGACACGTCTCAGAGCTAATTTTGGTCTGTAGCAGTTGGCAGTTAAGGAGTCCTCCATGCAAAGGAGCGCTGCAGTTAGATGATGAAATGAGTTGCTCTGTGAGCTCCTGAATGAGTTGTTTATTCCCTGCTGATGTAATTACATTGTCTGGCCACTAGTGATGAGTCAGGAAACACAGATGCATTGATGCATGCATTGAGCTAATAGAACAAAACCCAATGTCAGTGCCTGCATTGTAATATGGAAGTCACCAATACAGGAGCTGTTTAAAACAGACTGTTGCACTAAATTGTGTTTATAAGCGATTCATCTGCCTAAAAAAATCTGTGCTCTTCAAATTCACCAAGAATTACGGAGCAGCATCAAGACAAAACGATCCGTTTGAGATCTTTTTCATCTAATATTTGTCCTAATTTTCAATTTACACAAAGTGTACATTAGGGGTGTAAATAATAATCGTTTTGTATCGATGCATCAATCCAAGAGCCGACGATCCGATGCATCGATACGTCCGCAAGAGAATCGATTCATGTTTTTTTTTTTCCTCCGGTCTATTTTCATCCATTTGCTCCTGGGCGTAATTCTCCCTCCCGTGCTGCGGTGGCGCTAAACCTATTGTGCCCTCCTACCTCGCCTCCTGGTTATACTCCTGCAGCAGTGTGTTGCAGTGAGCCTGACACAGATATTTTAAAATTATGCTCAATATTGAATATTGAATTCTCACGCACCTCGCTCTTCTAGCGGGTCAAACTTCACGAGTTGTTTTCCGCAATTTCGGTCATAAAAACAAAACAAGCCGGCCTCCTGTCTGCGGTCGGCTACAATTTGGGAGAGGAGCAGCGGAGCGTCTCTCAAGGGGGCGGGGACGTCTGGAGCCGAGGTATTGCATTGCACTCATAGCACTGATTTTCTGCAGTATTTTTGCAGTATTTTTTTATGCAACTTTTGTACTTCTGTTATTTGCTGTTATTTCTAAAAAAAATTATCGAATCGTTGGTTCAGGAAATCGATACTGAATCGAATCGCCATGATGGATGTGATTGGATGTGACACCCTTAATGTCTCCTCATCTGCTAACGTGTGTGATGTAATGATCCGATGATGTGGCAGACTGCAGATGCATAAAATGCGTCTCCAACTGTTTATGGAGGCCACTTCACGAGAAGTGAGCCCGGTTGGTGAGCAGCTGCATTCTGTAACTCAAAGCAACTTCTCTGATCTGAGCAAGATTACAATTTATATCAAAATCTGTTGTCTCCCGGTTATTTAATACAAATAAGTTATGAAGTGTTATTTAAAGAGTTTGATCTCTTTTCAGGAAAAAGCTAAAAGCTTTAAGGTGTAAACACAGAATTTTCCTTTAAAATCCTAATAGCTAAAATCATATGGGAACTTTTTTGGGGCCTTTTTTATGCAATCAGGTTAATTTTGATTTGAAATGCCTGATGAGATAAGAAGCCAAAAAAGAAAGAAATCTGTAGAGTTGTTTTTCACAGGAGTATAGCCTCAGCACTGGATACTTTACTGACTTGTCTGCAGCAGCTTGGCACATTGCTGCTGACTCTCCTCCAGGCGCTGGGTGAGAGAATTAACGATCCTGGCTCTCTCCAGCTGCTCTTCTTCTCTCTGACGTTCCAGCTGCTTGACTTGCTGTTGAAGCTTCTTACTGACGTCAATCTAGAAACAAAAAACAAAAGAACAGAGTAGATGATCAAAACCGTAATTCTAACTTTCAAAATGATATGTTTCGCATTAGTTCTGATGAGCACGTTTCATTAAAACTACTTGCTTGGTCATTGAAAGCCTGCGAGGTAGAATCGAGCTTCTGCTCCAGAGCCAGCAGTGCAGCCTGGTGCTGCTCCTTCATGGTGGCCAGGTCTCTGTCGTGCTGCTCCCGCGTTCTGGACAAAGTGTCAGAGCGACACAGCTCCAGCATCTGCTGCTTCATGCTGTCCACTGCAGCATCGGCAACCTTCAGCCTCTTCGTGTTCTGAAACATCAAACCCCTTCATAAACAAGAAGCTTTCACGATTCTCTAAATGAATGTTTATCTAATAAGGTAGGACAATCTGTTTAATCCCATTCAATTGGCTTGTGTTTATATGTTGATTTAACTTGAATTTCCTTAATTCTACATAAGTTAACTTTTAATAATGGAATCTTATGCTACGTTCAGACAGCAAAACCTGCGTGCTGCTTCATTCTTGATGCTTGTACAACTTTAGTTCTGATGCGCGGCTGAAGCATCTATGCTGCTCTAGCTGTGCGGTCTAAAAGTGCGCCTGATGGGCGGAGCTATCCAATCTTTTCTTCGCCTGTAACAATGGCAGCTATATTTGCTGTAATAAGCAGGTAAAAAGTAGTTTGAATGTGTTTTAAAGTGAGAAAGTCCACCTGAAAACATCGTCTGTGCGATACTTGGGTTACAATATAATATCATTGCGATATGTTAATATCACTAGGGGTGAAAATCACATCCATCATGGCGATTCGATTCAGTATCGATTCCCTGACAACGATTCGATTATTTTCGATACCCAAGAATACACCGCGGTACGATTCGATTAATTGTTTAATTTTATTTTTTTTTTTTTTTACACCTTACAGACTAGGCAATGTTTCAAAGTTGAAATAAATAAATGAAAGCTGTAATATCGTCATGCATTTTTTTGAGAAACAACAGCAAATAACAGAAATAGAAAAGTTGCATCAAAAAATACTGCACAAAATCAGCGCAATGAGTGCAATTCAATCCCCGCCCCCCCCACAGACGCTCCGCTGCTCCTCTCCCAAATTGTAGCTGACCGCAAACAGTGCCGCAGACAGGAGGCCGGCTTGTTTTGTTTTTATGACCGAAATTGCGGAAAACAACTCGTGAAGTTTGACCCCCTAGAAGAGCGAGGTGCGCGAGAACGCTGGGATCCTTTTTCTGCCTGGATCTCCGCTCTTTTTGGCCCTCATGTCCCTCCGTCGTCGGACTAAACTCGCCCCCACTTCCTCGCCGCCTCGGCCGTATCTAGACCCACAGCGTGTAGCACAGACCACGCTTCAGTATTGAGCGTAATTTAAAAATGTCTGTGTCAAGTTCACTGTTGTAAGAGTATAACCAGGAAGCGAGGTAGGAGGGCACAATAGGTTTAGCGCCACCGCAGCACGGTAGGGAGAATTACGCCCAGGAACAAATGGATAAAAATAAACCGGAGGAAAAAAAAAAAAAAAAAGATTAATCGATTCTCTTGCGGACGTATCGATGCATCGGATCGTCGGCTGTTGGATCGATGCATCGATACAAAACGATTATTATTTACACCCCTAAATATCACTATATATTGCAATATTTTTCCAAGCTTTCAAAATGAAATGTAAAGATAAAAAGCAAGTGCTGTATATGTGCAGCAGAAGATATGGATCAGTTATTTTTGTATCCGTGTTGTTCGGGGTTTTAGTTATTCCACGTCTGTGACTGCCTCAACTACAGATATGGCAATGATTAGCACAGCGGCAGGGCTCCACAGCTCTATCTGCCAGAGCGGTGGTGCAGAGGTAGCCATTTTCCTTCTTTTTTTAGATAAAAATGTTTAATTTACTAATATCGATATACTAGGAACTGAAAGATCAATATTATATTAGCAGCTGAAAATCATGATATATAATCGATTTTTTTCCAAACCCCAACCAGTCAGTTCATCAAGATTACCATCCTGCCTTCAAATATTATTTATATTTATTAATATTTCCGCTACTGTTCGCTGCAGCTGGAAGGCATTTTGGATCACATACATAATACAAACTGCAGGCAGCAGGATAATAAAAGTGAACATATTCTGCCGGCAGGTTTCCATATTTTAAGTTAATCGAGGCGTTAATAAACTGTTTCAGAGGAGTGATCATAGCGCTCTGCATCAGCAGTGCTGTGTCTGACTCCCTGCCAGCTCCCAGATCAGCTTCTCTGATTGGTTGACATAGCGCTTCCAGCAGCTAAAGTTAAATTTTTTAAACTTCAGCTGTTGCTTCTGAAGCTCATGCGTTGCCGCTTCAGCTGCACGAAAAGCGCTGCAGGACCTTTTGCTGCGCCTTGATGCGTGTCAACCATTGACTTTGCATGTAAACCAGCTGCTTCTGTTGCCTCTGCTGCTTGCGGTCTGAATGTAGCATTAGATATGAGCGCAGTTAAGTGGTTGTTAACACATTATCAAATGAGTTCAGCTTAAAACAGTAGATAAGATGGAAGGCTGATTTACCTCCTGGTCTTTCTCCCTGAGGATCTGTACCTGCTGCTCCAACACCTTCAGCTTGTTTTGCATTTGAACCTCTCCTTTCTTCGCCTCTTCTATCAGTCGACTGGACTCCTTCAAACTGACAGCAAGGCCATCTTTTTCATCTGTTAACCATTTGTTAGAAATAATGACACCAGGCTATAAGTGATGGCAAAGACTAAACTGTGAAATGATTTAAAGACACAAGGTTCTCCATTATGGTGGAGAAGATAAAAGGTGTGAAACAAACCTTTGACGATTGCAAACTGATGCTCGATGTATCTCATATTACGGCGTGAATCCTCCAGTTTCCGCTCCAAGTCCTCTATTTGCCTCTGTTGAGCTTTGTTTAAAACCTGCAGCTGAGCGACCTGCTCCCTATTGGCCGTTTCTGAAACATTTGGATATTAAAATAATTTACAATCCTAGTAAAAGCATCTTTTAAGTGAAAAGTCCGCTCATATTCAGAATTCAAACTTCTGAAAGTACTTTAGATATGAAATGATTCCATCCTGTTCAATAAATGATCAGTGTTTTTAATTCAGAGTAATTTTCATGTGAATGTGCTTTACTGGAGGCATCCATGTTTGTCAAAGAACACTACTGCCACCTACTGGTTAGTGACGTCACGGTGCGGTATCGGCTGTTGATCAAGTCCCAGTGCTGTATCTGGTGTTTGTCACAACGCGCTATTATCCAAGTCATCTTGAAAACATTCTTCTTCCAAATGTTGGCTACATATTACGGGTTTTTTCTCTGGCCAGAAGTTCGATGGCAAATCCTCCCTCTTCAAGTTGGCGATCCAACGACCAACCCGTCCGTGGAGGATCAGAAATCAGAAAGGTGGAATAACTCTTTTTTTTTCACTTTTACCCGATGTATTCCAGCATCCAGCTGGCATGCACGTGGGCATTGTCAGTTTCACTATAGCTCTGGTGAATTTCAATGGTGAAGTCCTCTGGAAATCTTCAATAATGATTGTTGATTGCAGATGTGTCTAGTAGTTCCCATTGATTTAGCTTGTAAAGCGGGGAGAATGGCGCTAGGCTTACCGCACCGTGACGTCACTGCTGGAAGATGGCAGGAGGGAGGGGCTACTGTATTTGGGCATAAATGGCCGCTCCCAGACTCAGTGATCGCGACAAAAATTATTATTTTAATTGTTTTACTGATTAAAGCTAAATTCAATAAATCACAGCAAACATATTAGTCTTAGGTATAAATAATGATCCATCGATTATTCCTTACTGACCGGACTTTTCCTTTAAAAGCTTTCAAAATTTCTACAGCTCAGAGCACGTTCTTTAATTTAACGGTTGCGAATATCACAGGGTCTGCCAATTAAAGCTTCCTGTAATAAATCTCCATCATTTCAATACAAAACCCACAATAACACCATAAGATAATATCACATTGATTTGGAAAGTTCACCAGACTCTAATTTACTGTATGGCTGCTTAAGTTATGATTAAATCTGGGACTAACCCCTAAAAATTAGCCCATTAGTTGGGTAGGCTTTATAATTCTCTACATATCACATTGTTTTAGATTACAGCAGTAAACCAGTTTTCTCTAAATAAAAGTTAAAACTTATTGCATTGCTAAAGACAATCGAAACAAAGACTTAATCCAACGTGGATGCAAAGATTACTGAAACTCACGCTGCGTCGAATCAAGAAACTCCCTCTGCAGCTGGTCGAATTGATCATGTTTCTGAGCACCATGAGGGTTCACCATGTTAGGCTGATGGGCAGGATGTGGAGGGTTATAAGTAACCCTGTACTGATTACCACCATGGTCACCCAGTCCAGAGTTTAATTTCTAAAGAACAAAATAAAGAAAATGGTATGCTGGTGAAGATTTTAACTGATCCAGGTCACAGTCATTCAAAAAAAATTTAAAAACTGGATTTTGTTTCCAAGTTTGAAGACGTTTATCTTCCCATCCAGGAAGTTTTTTCAATTCAAAATGTCAGAAATAGCGTTGAGTTCAAGGCTTTATAGAGTGGACAAAAAAACAAAGCCTTGTTTTGGCTTAAAAAACATGCAAATTGAACCTGACGAACAGGTCTGCCCCTTAAAATGGGGGTATTTTGTTTCTTTGTTAGCCTGTAATACCTGAAAGCTGTCTATGTCTCTGATAAAGCTTCTAGTTAGAGCGGCTCAGGTTATCCGGAGCTATCTCTATAGTTCTGCTGCTATAGGCTTAGACTGCTGGAGGACATAGGGACCCCTTTTTCATCATTCTGCTTCATTCTATCTCTATTCTCCCACTCTGCAGAATCTGTTAGTTCAATCTCTAACGTTCTGCTCTCTCTGCTTTTTCTCATAGTAGCTTCATCTGGTCTGTTCCTGTTTGGCTGTGACTCCATCCTGGAGAGAAATATCAGCTGTGCTGCTGCCATCAACACCTTTGTTTCTAGATGTTGGAGCTTGGCCTGTTTTCCAGTGTAGTCCTGTTTCTCTGACTGTGACTAACTGGATGTGCTCTCTTCATCCTCTGACATGGGAGCTGGCTCGGAGCTCGTCTACCTGGCTGTGTGTTTCCTGGACGGGGCCGCCTGTGGAGCTGGTTGACAGTTGCCTTTTGTATCTATGCTTCTTTTTCTATGTCTGCTTCTGTCTCCTTGAACCCCAGTGGACCTCAGCAGATGGCCGCTCACACTGAGCCTGGTTCTGCTGGAGGTTTCTTCCTGTTCAAAGGGAGTTTTTCCTCTCCACTGTCGCTACAAGCATGCTTAGTGTGAGGGATTGCTGAAGAGTCAATGAGTCGATGCAATCAACTGGTTTTCCTTAGATAGAAAACTTTGAATCAATCTGACTGGATGATCTGGTTGAACTGGAAAGTGACCTGAGATGATATGATGTGAATTTGGAGCTATAGAAATAAACTGAATAGAATTTAATTGAATTGAAAAGGGGGGTCGTTAAAAGGAATTGTTGGCCAGGCTGAAGATTCGAGGTGCTCTGGTCCCCTGTAATTGGAAGGGGGTGATAGCAGGAAGGAAGATATATACAGGTATTACAGGCTATTAAAGAAACAAAACGACCCACATCCCAGGTTCAATTTCCGTGTCTCCATGACCTTACAATAAAGCCTGGAACTCAACGCTATTTCTGACATTTTGAATTGAAAAAGATTCCTGGATGGAAGAGAAACGACTTCAAACTTGGAAAAGTCCAGTTCATTGTTTTGGTTTTTTTTTATATAACTTTTTTTGGAAAGAAAATTGTACTTTTTAGGTGAAACCTTGCCATTTTTAACATCACTTCATCATAAATGAAAGTACCTTTCCTTTTTTATTTGCAGCACAAGGTAAAGCCCACAGTTACATGCATAACTCCTAAAACAGCATAATTTCAAACCAGCTTTTAATGTTTACACTAACACAGACGCAACTACAGACCCGGCACGGATGAAAGCACAGAATCCTGATCATTGTTGAACTGGTTCACTCACCTGGAAATGGCTTCTGCTGCCGTGGTCCCCATGGTGATTGCTGTAGCCGCCGTCTCCGTTATAATCCACATGGTTTTTGGTGCTTTCAGGATACAACATGGGCTCACACTCTGCAGGATAATCCCTGGTCTCTGCGTAATCATCTGAGTCCATGTTTGTGCGTGTTTGATTTTCCTGAACAAAGTGATGATCCCGGTTCCATCCGTGAGGCAGTAATGGATTAGGAGGGTGACTCAGATGTCCGTTAGGATACCCAGGACCATCCTCATAGGCGTACTCATCATGTGAGCCAACTTCAGAGGCCTTCAGGGAGACAGCAAAGCATTATAAAGGTTTTTTATTTACTTTAATCTTAGAAAGTGAAGATCAATATGAAGTCAAAGACAACCTGTGCATGAGACGTTGGCTGTACATGATCAGACCAATCCTGGTTCCACTTTGGCTGAGGGCTGAAAGAAGGTAAAAACACATCACTGTGATACGCTGCAGCTTCTCTATGCTCTCAGCCACACCTTAATTTCACCAAACCCGACTGATGTGTCAACAGCAACATGTGTTACCTGTTGCCGGTGTTTTTACGGCTGTAGGTAGAGCTCTCCAGCTCAGGGGAGGAGGAGTCTCTGCTGTCTTCCAGCATGTCATCTGGCAGGTCTGTGAGCAGCTTGTGCAGCTGCAGAGATAGGACACATGGAAATGAGTCACCAGGGTTGCTCGGCAACAAAGTTATAAAATAACAGTGCATAGAAATAACACGGAGAGCAAATCGATGACAACTTGAGAATAAGCAAAACAAAGATTCGCTGCTCTGTTGTTTTTTCCAAGAAAAATTGTTGGTCTCTTTAGTTTCCTAAAAGCTGTTTAGATTCTTAGTTAGACTAAAAGGTTTGATTTAGGAAATGATTATCAATCAACAAACTCTGGCCGCTGTTTCTCATATTTATATATTTATAAGCAAATCAACAATAATTATTCAATATTAAAGCGCTATTTGAATCGCTTTGCCATACATTTTTTTAAACATTTAAATAAGAAAAACCGTTAAGCAAACTTTCCATCAGTTAGGACTGAATAGGGCATCTTATCAGACCGCCATGAGCGATGAAACAAACACAGCCTGTTGGACTTACTTCCCACAAGGACTGCTGAATATTCCTCAAATCCTCGACTGCGTCCACAACCGACGGACCCATATCACCGCAATTACACATTTCACAAAAATCCTCTGCTTCTATCCATAAAGCTGCAAAAAAAAAGCCCCACGCTTCTAATCTGCCTGTAGAGATGTCCTCCTATGTGAAACATTCAAAAGATGCCTGGCATGCTGTTGGATCCCTGTGAAATCACTGCGTTTCGCTCCCAAAGCCCCCCATTGTTTAGCCAAAAAACATATAGCAGGGTTAACTGGAGCAGAAACATTCCAGTTACAGGCGGCGGACATGTCCTCTTCACCAGCTAGTGTGCAACAAGTAGGTTACTATGGATCCAAAACAATTTTAACTCAAGGGGAGAATTTTTTTTTTTTTTTTTGCATCTCAGTGGTAAAAGCAGCTCAGCAACATTTCCTCCCTCTGGACTGAAGCTTCAATGAGGTCAAGAGTGGAAGCAGATCTAAGCTGAGAAAGGAGAAAGTAGGGAGGCCACAGGGCAGAGCTAGTTTCAGCATGACACACCTGGAAGGAGGCCTTTCCGTTGAGCCAATAATAACTCCTGCGTGGGAGTGGAAAGCAGGAAGTGTTGGACCAGTGAGAGGTTGGCTGTGATTTTTTAAATCCAAACAAAGTCCACTTTAGCGCTTCTAGAAACAACACGACTCACACGGCAAATAAGAACCTTTCAGATCAATCAAGTTCAATCCAATCCACTTTATTTATATAGCACGATTTCAATAAACACAAGGTTTCCAAAGTGCTGCACAAAAAAAGATAAAATACCTAAAATAAACTACTACTACTCTTATGACACGTGTGATAGAGTTTTTATTTTTTCTGTTAAATGTGAACTCCATATTTATTTGTATTTTGCTTAATTTTAACTTAATTTAACTTAATAATTTTTTGCCCTGTGAGCTGCTGGTAACCTTAATTTCCGGAGGGAGTCTTCCCAAGGGATCAATAAAGTACAGTCTAAGTCTAAGTCACTCATGCAAAATGTGTGGAGGTAAATTACTGTAAAGTACATTGAAATACTTTACAGGAGGTTAAAGGAAAAGTCATTCAGAATTAAAATGTCTGAAATTACTTTAAACATGAAATTATTCCATCCTGTTCAATAAATGATCAGTGTTTTTAATCGAGAGTAATTTTCATGTGAATGTGCTTTACTGGAGGCATCCATGTTTGTCAAAGAACACTACTGCCACCTACTGGTTAGTGACGTCACAGTGCGGTATCGGCTGTTGATCAAGTCCCAGTGCTGTATCTGGTGTTTGTCACAACGCGCTATTATCCAAGTCATCTTGAAAACATTCTTCTTCCAAATGTTGGCTACATATTACGGGTTTTTTCTCTGGACAGAAGTTCGATGGCTAACAGGCCTGTGCTGATTTATCTTCTTTTTTTTTATATATATATATATACAAAGTCAGTCAATGATTTCAAATATGGGTTCCACGAGGCTTTCGGGTAATAAATTTATTCTTCATAGAGGAAACATTGCTCTATCAAAAACTTTATTGCTCAAATGTAATATACTCATTTTAAATGTTGTGTTTTCATTAGTTTTTACACAGAAAAACACCAGAATTGACAAAAAGAAATAAAACTTTGAGAACATTGATGTATTACTTTATTTAGGGCTGAAACAATTGAAATAATCAACTAATTTAGTGATGGATTACTCGTCTACTGGCGTAAAGAGACTCTAAAACATGCTTTTAGCTGACAGAGCGACCCACTTAGAGCAGTAATTTTACCATAATTGTAAAAAAAAAAACATAAATATTTTGATTTTAAGACTTTAAAATAGTTTTTGTCTGTCCCCATGCTCTATTCAGAACTCCTAATGTGGAAAAGTTTTAGTTTCACCCGTTTCATTTCATAAAAAGTGTTCTTTAAGGAAGCTTTGGCTATCTGATTACTAATCAGAAAAATAGTTGACAGATTAATAGATTTGCAAATTATTGGTCAGTTCCAGCCCTAATTTAATTAGTCTATAATGCCTTGCATTTACCGTAGTAAATTGTGGTACTGAAATAACTATTTTTTTATTATTATATTATTCTTTTTTAATAATATGGAATATTTCTTTTTGCTTTAGAGATGACTTCTTGAAAACCTCCTTATAACATTATTTGGTTGAACTTTCAACCCGTTTCCTTAGACAGAAATGGCATGACTGATTTAGGTTTGCAGGCTGCTTCATTTAAAAACAACTTTTCAACTCTAGCAACATGGGATTTCTACAGGATTGAAATCAGGGCTTTTTACAGGCCAATCCAAATCATTGACTTTGTTATTCTTGTCTGCTTTACCATAACTTTGCTGTTTGGGATCAATATCCGATTCAAAGAATAACTTATTTCCAAGCTTAAACTTTGAGAGATTTCTTGAAATATCGCTTCAGGATTTCCTCATATTGTCTCTTCCATACAACACGGTTTATACAGGAAGGAGGAACTCTAATTTGATGCTTTTTAATGCTTAGAAATAATTTTAATGCCATCAATAAGTATCCATTACTCTCATACATTGAAATATACACATATATTAATAAACACGGCCAAATCCTTCGTAATCTTTACCATCGACAGGCTGCAGTCATGACCCGAATTTCTCGTTTTCCAGCCACTTATGTTAAAATTTGCTTTTTCCCCATTCTCTAGCTTTTTCTGTGCCCCGAGCTTCTGTTCCGAACATACGGCTTTACAATCAACCAGGAGCAGTTCCACGCAAACCAGTTAAATCTGATATATTTGACAATTTTTTTTTTTTAATAAAGCATTTTAAATTCCATGATAATCACGTTTAATGGATTTTAATGCCAAATAAGGCCTTAATTTAGAAAATAATAATTTAATGACTTTTAATGATATTTAATGACCCACAGAAACCCTGTAGCATCCTTCCCAAATCAAGGATGCTACCAAACCAAACTTCCACTGCAGGAGCGGTGCTGTAAGCCTTCTAAGCTCCAAACACAGTGATGGTCACTATGGCCAAAGAGCTTTATTTGAGTCTCATCAGACCATAGTAGGCTGAAAACACTGATGTCTATATATTCACAGGATTGCTTATTGCCCGAGAAAAGTGAAGCCACCATCCGCCATGTTGGTACTCCCCACTCCCATGGAGAAGCCCAGTAAAACAGCCTACATGTAAAGCACTTGGCTGCAAAAACAAGCATTTTGCCAGTTGTGGGAAGACGTTCCACAGGTTATTTCACAGTCAGTGGATGAACTAACCAAGAAAATCCACATACGCCGATGGATCCTATAGTATAGTATGTAGCGTAACATTAGTCTGGCTATCTAGGACTGACTCGAAAAAAAATGTATATATATATCTCATGTGTCATAAATACATGTATATTACATGTATTTACGACATTTACACATTTGGCACATCTGTATTATTATGCTCCTTTAACACATTATTTTTTTTGGGATGGATATGTATAATATGTTATTTTGCATGATTTATAGACTTCATTGACTTCATAATGACTATGCAATGCGATGTGCCTATTTTTTTATTATAAGTTAAAGTAATCTACTGATGCTATGAAACAGCCAGTGTGTGTCAAAGTGATGAATTTATCTTTATTTTGCAAGTAATAAGAAACGGTAACTTGCCCTATAAGGGGTTAAATATATAGATAGAAATGAATAATCGAGGCATACAACGCTTTAAAGTTAAGCCGAATAAATGGTTTGCTGAACATGCTGTGTTTTCACCTCTTGCTCTCTCGTATAGTCTTCCTGGTCGTATTCCTCCTCATCATGCTGAGTCTGAAGAGCAGCGCTGTCAAAATCAATCGACATGTTGCACTGCCTGCTTGGAAACAAAAGTAAACAGTCAGTCAACTTGCTGCCCTGTTCAGGTATCCAGGAATCAGTTATCAGCTTAATAAAGATGTAAAATTTACGTAAAATCTAATTTGTGTTTTCACCAACGGATATGCATATTAATGACTTACCAGTTGAAATGCCAAAATAAATACTTGGAGGACTTTTTAAAAGCTCATTTCAGCAGCTTTAGCTGCCTAGTGCTACTCATGCTAATGTTTTCATTATAAAGCAGCGACGAGCTAAACAAATACTAAATAACGCCTCCGTGAAAAACTCGGACACTGAGCATTAATTGTAAACGTTACATATTTAGCCAGAAAACGGTTAAGATAGTTAATACGAACATTTACTTACACGTTAACTGTAAAAATCCTAAGCTAAGCTAGCTGGCTAACTAGCCTGCTGAACATCCTCGTCACATGGACTCGCCCACTTTGAAAAGTCGCGCGCGTTAGCAGCGCCAACCCCTCCGGATGTATAAAGGAAGAAAGAAAAAATCCTGAAGAACTGCTGGAACATAAAGATAACCTTAAATAGTAGAATTTCACTGATTCATTCGTGTAAATTTCATCCACAGCGGAGAACAGTTACATTAGAGGCGTTTTTCCTCGCTTCTACCAGGCCAGGTTAGTATCGTTTCTATAGTAACAGTTTCCTTAGGATTATGGGTAAAGTAGTTCTTATTTGTAGTTTGTTACAGCTAGCGCTGTAGAGGCACATTGGCATTACAGTGGTTATTATATAGCGAATTCCGTCATCCATCCATCCATCATCCATCCATCCATTCATCCATCATCCATCCATCATCCATCCATCTGTCCATCCATCCATCATACATCCATCCACTCATCCATCATCCATCCATCCATCCACCCATCATCCATCCATCCATTCATCCATCCATCCACCCATCATCCATCCATCCACCCATGATCCATCCATCCATTCATCCATCCATCCATCATCCATCCATCCACCCATCATCCATCCATCCATTCATCCATCCATCCATCCTTCCACTCATCCATCCATCCATCCATCCATCCTTCCATTCATCCATCATCCATCCATCATCCATCCACCCATCATCCATCCATCCATCCATCCATCATCCATCCATCTGTCCATCCATGCATCCATCCTTCCACTCATCCATCCATCATCCATCCATCCATCCATCCACTCATCCATCATCCATCCATCCATTCACCCATCATCCATCCATTCATCCATCCACCCATCATCCATCCATCCATCATCCATCCATCCGTCCATCCATCCATCCATCCATCCATCCATCCATCCATCCATTATCCATCCAACCATCATCCTTCCATCATCCATCCACTCATCTATCTATTAATCAATTCATTCATTCATCCATCCATCCATTCATTCATTCATTTATCTATCTATCCATCCATCCACTCATCTATCCATCCCTCCATCCATTAATTAATTAATTCATTCATTCATTCATTCATGAATTTATCTATCCATCCATCCATGCATCCATCATCCACCCACTCATCTATCTATCCATCCATCCATTCATTCATTCATTCATCTATCCATCCATCTATCCATTTTTAAATTATCTATCTATCTATCTATCTATCTATCTAAGTAATTACAAAATGTAGAAATCTTTAACATAAAACACTTCATACTGTCGCTTGTTGACTGACGGTGACTTTCATCTTTATAAGGTCATGTTGTAATTAATCATCTTTTTAAATTTGAATTGAATAAAAAAGTGAATTAGAATAGGAGCAAACCATGTGTATTTATATCACCTGTTTTCTTTTGCTTTTATTTTAGAAACTGCTTTGAGCTCAATATCAAACAGTATTTTTATTTCTAATCACTCTCTACTACTGTTAATGTAAAATAATAACTTTTTGTGACATTCTGTTCACTATGCTTTTAGTAAGTGTTTAAGAATTGGGGAAATTAACTTTATTAATGAAGAAATTTTCAATTTGACTTGGTTGTGCTTTCTACGGTGGCCAGCAGAGAACATAATACATTGGTCTACGTGTCTTCCTCTATTTACTTCCGCCTCCTGCCTCTGCAGCTGTTCCTGAGTCGGCTCTAATGAAAGAAACGTCATTTAGGCAGCGCTTCAGCTGATCGGAGGTCAGCAGTTTCCAATCCGGGAGTCCCGGTCTGCTGACAGTCACCAGGCGGTGGGAATATTTCGACGAGAAACTGATTAAAAACCCAATAATCTCTGCGAAGGTAAACATGGCCTCCTGTCCACCCAAAAGCAAGTTTAAGATAACTTCTAATGAGAGGTGAGAAGCAGCCTATGGGGGAGGGAGATTATCCGTCATCGAAACTATTGATGTATTCTCTGTTTACCATTCTTTTTTTCCCCTCATATACAGGCTGAAAGAATTAAAAGAAAAGTTTGAAGCAAAGTTTGGAGAATCTCCTCTCTTCTATGCATGTGGACCTGGAAGGGTAAATCTAATAGGTAATTAAATATAGATATTTAGAAGCGTGCGATATAAAAAGCCTGTGAAGGATTTTTATTGACTGAATTGAGTGACTGTAAACTAGTGATAGTTAATGAGGCATCTTGAAGCGTTTCCACACATTGTTAAACTGCATTGATCCTGCATTGATTCTGTCTCACACAATACTGACACCTGCTGGACATTTAAAGACACTACAGGCAGCTGATTGGACAGATTAAAATGAATTGATTTGATGACCTAAAACAATTATATAATTAAAGTTATTGTAGGTTATATTGTATTATTTCATATCTATCTTTGCTATTTTTAGATGCAGCCAATAAATAATGTGAACATTCAATTCAGTTTATTTCTATAGTGTCAATTCACAACACCCGTCATCTCAAGGTGTTTTACAGTTCGCCAGATGATACAGTAAAATTGATTCAGTTTTCTATCTAAGGAAAACCATCTGATTGCATCGACTTGTTGACTCTTCAGCAATCCCTCAGACTAAGCATGCTTGTAGCGACAGTGGAGAGGAAACCCTCCCTTTTTAACAGGAAGAAACCTCCAGCAGAACCAGGCTCGGTGTGAGCGGCCATCTGCTGAGGCCGACTGGGGTTCAAGGAGACAGAAGCAGACATAGAAAAAGAAGAGAAAGGACATATAACATGAAAATCTAGGGGGAAATTTGATTGAGGATGCTTGTGGATTTTTAAATCATAATTTAAAAACAATAAGCACAGTATAAAACAGTAGGTAAACTAAAAGTCAATTTGAAATTAACTTTAATTCAGATAAGTTGAGTGATAACAGAGGAACAGGATGACACAACGAGAAAATTTAAATTAAAAACACAACTGCTGAAACGTTCCTACTCCTTTTAGATTGCTCCAAAATGCTTTTTTTTTTTTTTTTTTTTAGCAGTTGCATCATGTTGACAGAAAAGTTTTTCAACACAGTTTAGTGAATCAATCAGTTAGAAACAATTGCTGTATCGGTCACATGACTTTCTTGAAACGACACGCTCACCGATACAGTGTTTTGCTCTACGGGCTCCACGCAGGCACCGACCCATCGGTGTTGCTGGACCCATCAGTGCAAATTAACCAAACCACATTAAATAGTTTAGCTCCTTAAGTTGGTAAATGTCTCTTTTTAGTGCCTCATAATGGATTTAATTCTCTCAATATCATCTTACTTTTTTTATGTGAAAATCTCAAACTTACAAATACAATTCTCTAGATTGTCTGAAAAACAAAAATCAGAATTGTTAAGTCAAAGGACAATGATAAATATTAGACTATTGTTAGGTTTATTCACCGATGATTATAAAATTAATGTTAGCTTGTGAAACATTTGTGCGAGGGGATGCTCCACTCCTGTCTCATGATTCCGTCAGGAGACCATCCTGCCTTGTCATTCTGATGGAGCATCTTGTCTTTATGAACTGATCAATTGTTCTGCCAGAACAATACTCTGTTTTGTAACCATGTGTCATGTTCTGTTAATAAAAGACGGCTGCAGGGGGGGGATTCGGAGAAGGAAAGCTTGAAGTTGGGTTGGACTATTCCTTCCGCTCCTGCAGAAGCTGCTTGAATCTCTTTCCTGTGTAGACTCAATTTCTATTTATTTGCAAACCTACATTTTCTGAATCTAACAACTATATGGAGCTTTAAAGCTTTTCTCTGTAGCTCTGACTGTTTGCTTTGGTGTCCAGCTAAAAAGGAAACCCTCATTCCAGTCTCTAGCAGCCCTCAGAGCTTTTGGATTTAAATCGGTACTATTAAAGAACAGGAAAATCTAAAATATTTAAACACAAAGACATAACAACACAATTATTCAGTTTAATTAACTCCATAAATGTGTTCTGTTGTATTTGCCTCACTGAACAGGGGAGCACATCGACTACTGCGGTTATTCGGTCCTGCCAATGGCTATTGAGCAGAGCATCCTGGCAGCCGTGTCGGTGAACAACTCCGGGATGATCCAGCTGGCAAACACTAATCCTCAGTACCAGTAGGATACCTATAAATTCTACACTTCTATTTAATCTAAAATACTAAAATGTATATAAAGACAGCTGCTGTTTTATTATAAGGATTTATTGTCTGATAATTGCAGGGATTTTAAAGTGTCCTGCTCAGAAGAGATCATCATAGACAGAGAAAATCCAAAGTGGTATTTTTATTTTCTCTGCGGTGTTAAAGGTATCCAGGTAAGCTGTGTCGGCGAAGGTCGTATCTGAAATAAATAAAGCTTTAAGTGTATATGTGTATGTACTGGGGAAATGATTGGTATCGTAGAGTGTTATATGTTGACGTGTTTGTCTTGTTTTGTTTTTTTTACCAGGAGAAGTTTGGGATCACTCATTTAGCTGGGATGTCCTGTGTTGTGGATGGAACCATTCCTCCCAGTTCCGGTCTCTCCAGTTCAAGCGCCTTAGTTTGTTGTTCAGGCCTCTTGACTATGGAGGCGAACCAAAAGTCTCTTTCTAAGGTAAAAATAATCCAACTGTTTTCAATTCAATTCTGTTTTTTTTCTATAGCTCCAATTCACATCATATCATCTCAGGTCACTTTCCAGTTCACCAGATCATCCAGTCAGATTGATTCAAAGTTTTCTATCTAAGGAAAACCAGCTGATTGCATCGACTCATTGACTCTTCAGCAATCTCTCACACTAAGCATGCTTGTAGCGACAGTGGAGAGGAAAAACTCCCTTTGAACAGGAAGAAACCTCCAGCAGAACCAGGCTCAGTGTGAGCGGCCATCTGCTGAGGCCCACTGGGGTTCAAGGAGACAGAAGCAGACATAGAAAAAGAAGCATAGATACAAAAGGCAACTGTCAACCAGCTCCACAGGCGGCCCCGTCCAGGAAACACACAGCCAGGTAGACGAGCTCCGAGCCAGCTCCCATGTCAGAGGATGAAGAGAGCACATCCAGTTAGTCACAGTCAGAGAAACAGGACTACACTGGAAAACAGGCCAAGCTCCAACATCTAGAAACAAAGGTGTTGATGGCAGCAGCACAGCTGATATTTCTCTCCAGGATGGAGTCACAGCCAAACAGGAACAGACCAGATGAAGCTACTATGAGAAAAAGCAGAGAGAGCAGAACGTTAGAGATTGAACTAACAGATTCTGCAGAGTGGGAGAATAGAGATAGAATGAAGCAGAATGATGAAAAAGGGGTCCCTATGTCCTCCAGCAGTCTAAGCCTATAGCAGCACAACTATAGAGATAGCTCAGGATAACCTGAGCCACTCTAACTAGAAGCTTTATCAAAAAGGAAAGTTTTAAAGTAATTTTTTTATGCATTATATTGTGTGCTATATTTTTATCCTTAATGGCATCTTGCTTTAACTCTTTTATAACATATATAGCTTATACACTATAAAAGTTACTGGAACCAGAATTTCCCTGAAGGAGTAGTCCCGAGAGATAAAGTTGAGTCTAAGTCTAACTTAACCATATTCAGAGCCTCTCAAAAAATATATTTTTTCACCCCTTAACTTTTCCACATTTAAGGATTCTGTAGAAAGCTAATTTTTTTGTATATTTATTCCATAATTTTGAAGTGGAAAGAAAATCATTCCTGTTTTTCAAAAGTAGAAAAGTGTAGCTTATCCATGCATGTATCTTCTAGCATCTTCTGCAAATCTGTAGCTTTATACAACTTTTATATTTCTAAAGACTGACTGCTTTGCTCTTTAGTCAGTAAAATGCTTGAAACCAGTTAAAATACCGGTAGACAGAAATAACATTTTTTAAAGATTACCACATGTTATCCTTACTTATGGAGGATAAAAAGTGCCAAAATTAAATAAATAAATACAGCATTAAATAAATAATTAAATGTGTCAATAATTAATTAAATGTGGAATTGAATAAATAAATGTGTCATTCATTAATTAAAACCACGTCACTAATATAAAGTGCCACAATTAAATAAATAAATACAGCGATAAACAATGAATTAAATGTGTAATTAATTAAATTAATAAGGAATTAAATATATAAATGTGTCATTAATTTAATAAAATACGTCTTCATTTTATTTAAAAAAAAAATATATAATTATTTCAGTGTGCATTTAATTATTTCATGGTCCTGTGTCGCAGTGCATCGAAACCATTAAAAGAATCTGTCAAACTCACCCATCAAAGTTAGGGGGCGGGGTTAACGCGAATCGAGTCTCTGTAATCGATTTGCTTCGCCTTAATGTGCAGGGTGACCAATCAGGTGTTAGGTAACCGCCGGAAATCAGGCAAAGTATTACAATTTTAAGGAAAAACAAAGATTTATTTAAAAAAAAAAATAATAATAATAAAAAAATTGCACTTTTACCAAGAATCCAAAGTTAATTCAATAATATTTCAGTATAAATGATAAATAAACCAAAAAAACCTTCGCAACCAATTTATAAGTAATCTCAAAGTCTCAATTTATATCCGCAAAAAACAAAGAAAAACATCCCTAATAACTGAAAGTCCAAAACTGTCCGTCTCTTTTTTATTTCTAATAATAAAGTCCAAACAGGAGTTCCATACACTCCGAACCCAAAGTAAAATCCTGGAAGTCCAAAGTCCTTTCCAAAATGAAAATCCAAACGTCCAAACGAGATTTGAAATAATATTATCAATGACATAACTGTTCTACAAGACAGTTTGTCATTGGTACACTTTAATGTGCTTTATACAAAAAGTGAAAAATAACATAGTGGTTATGTTACAAGAATATATGTATTATCTTTGTTTTTCTCTCATCCATACACCAGGTGGCTCTAGCTGAGATATGTGCCAAAAGTGAGCGCTACATCGGGACAGAGGGAGGAGGCATGGACCAGTCAATCTCATTCCTGGCAGAGGAAGGAACTGTATGAACCGATTTTTTTTTTCTCTACCACATCTTTTATTGTTTCAATAAATCTGCGTATTCAGGTGGTTATTATGTGTTTAAATGAAAATTTCACCTGCTTATCAGGCAAAGCTGATCGAGTTCCAGCCTCTGAGGGCCACCGACGTCCGGCTCCCAGAAGGGGCGGTGTTCGTGATCTCCAACTGCTGCGTCGAGATGAACAAAGCTGCTTCTTCTCACTACAACATCCGTGTGGTTGAGTGTCGGATCGCAACAAAGGTGACCTAAATAGGCTGATAGAGACATTTCTTCTAGACCTTTTGATTGGCAGCCATTTAACTTTACAATAAAATAATATTTACATCGCTGCAAACTCCCTATTATAGAATATATAATATATTCTAGAAGTTAACACAAGTCGTCCTCCTGTTTGGGGCTCAGATGTTGGCGCTGTCAAAAGGTCTGGATCCGAGCCGAATGTTGAAGCTCTCTCAGGTTCAGACGGAGCTGAAGGCCTCCCTGGACGAGATGTTGGTCCTGGTGGATGAGGTGTTGCATCCTGATCCATACAGCCGCGAGGAGATCTGCAAGGTGCTGGGAATCACCTCGGAGCAGTTCTGCACAGAGCTGCTGAGCGCCAACACTCAAAATGGTGGGTAACTATAAACTAGTGTTGTGCCGATGCCATTTTTTGGCCCCGATACCTGGCTGTGCAGTATTGGCCGATACAAGTATCGGGCGGGGCCCCGATCCAGCACTATAATGGTGGCATCGGTATCGGCGAGTACCAACAAATAGGGCACCGATACCATTTTGAGAGCTAAAAGTTTCTTCAACTATTGTCACCCATTCCTAGCCTCGTGAGACCATCCTGATCTCGCGAGCTTTCAAGGTTTCACTCGCAGATCAGTCTGGAGACTCTCCGTTAAAGAAAATTTGGAGCCGTTCACCAAACGAACGTCCAATCAGCGTTGGCTTTGAGGCGGGTTGAGGTGTGACGCAACGAGAAGCGCGACAGTTCAGTCTAAAGAACATGGCGGCTTCAGCCGATGAAACTAGCGTTAGCGTGGCTATCGAGCAAGTTTTATCGGAATTACAGAGTATTTCTTCACTGAAAGAAGAGCAAAACACTGCTCTGGAGGCTTTTCTCAGAGGAAAAGATGTTTTTGCTCTTCTCCCGACTGGTTTCGGCAAGAGTAGCCTGGCTTGTGGTTTTGTTTTTGTCGTCGATCTGTTAGTACGTCATATGCAGTGATGGGAGTAATGGCGTTACCTTTTTTTAGTAACGAGTAATCAAAATTATTACACTGCCGACACCCCGTTACTGCACGTTACTCAGGTCGCACAATGAACCTTTTATCATGATAGGGCTGGTGCATGCGTCATGAGAGAGGGGAGGATGGAGAGTGAGGAGGACTCCAGCGAACTGCATTTCCCCATCAGATACGGTTTCCCCTGCATCTCCGCACAGCGCAGGCGGCACGATTCACCGCGCAAGCGACAGGAAACGCGCATGCTCGCTAAAGGCGTGTAACAGCCGTGCTGTGCTCGCGCCACAGCGGAACTACGGAGAGCGTGAACGATCTAATGATGGATGGATGGATGGATGGATGGATGGATGGATGGACGAGGTTAATAGGCCCATCAGATAGCATCCCCCCTCTGATGTCATTTACGTTGAGTTGCAATAAATGCTAAACTCTCTGCAGGTTCTTGTCTTTGTCGTCCGCTCTATTCAGCTGGCTTTGGAAACACACGGCGAGAAGGTGGGGGCTGGGTGCTGAGGGTTACGGGGGCGAGAAACGCAAAAGTAATGCAATAGTTACTTTTACTAGTAACTAGTTACTTTTATTGTGGAGTAACTCAGTTAGTAACTCAGTTACTTTTTGGGAGAAGTAACTAGTAACTATAACTAATTACTTTTTCAAAATAATGTGCCCAACACTGGTCATATGCTTCGTTGATCTGATTGGTTTATTTGGCCCGTCTATCACCAACATAGGCCAATCAGCTAACCAGTATTTTCGCCCCTTCCCAAAATTACTTCAACGGAAGGTTTCCAGATGGATATGTGGAGCAAATCCATCTGGCGGAGTATGGTTAACCCATTCCAGGTAGGCAATAAAAAGTTCTACTGGATTCAATTTTAGTCTTTTTTCCTATTTCACAAAGGTAGGCAGCAGCTTGACAAAGCCATGATGGCGATTATTTTACATCCAGGTAGTATACAGTTCTTCATATATATACACACATCAATTTCAAACAGATGGTATCAGCCAATACTGCACAGCCAGGTATTGGGCAACGGTATCGGGGCCAAAAAATGTCATGGGTGCAGCACTAGTTTAAAGACTTACTTTGATTTATTTACTTATTGTTTAGGTAGCACTTCTGTAAACTGCCAGAGAGAGATTTCCTGCAAGGAATTAATGAATTAATCCTGATTCTGATTCAGGAAGGCCTTTGGTAGAATTCAAATGAGCCATTTTAATTTAGATTAATCTAGATTAATTCCAAGATTACAGTTAGAATAATTTAGATAAACTTTTTTTTATCTATGCTCACCACTAATAATAAAGCATGTTGCAAAATATGCGTCAACATCAGAAAAGTTTGGATTTTACTAAGACGGTTTGAAACCTCTTTTAAAATGTGTTGTATGTATTTTTTCTCACTCTTCCTCGTCTCTTTCAGTAACGCATTTTAAGCTTTACCAGCGAGCTAAGCATGTGTACGGCGAAGCTGCGCGCGTGCTGAAGTTTCAGTGCGTGTGCGACGCCGGATCTGCCGAGTCTCTCCAGCTGCTGGGGGAACTGATGAACCAGAGCCACGCGAGCTGCAGGGACCTGTACGAGTGCAGCTGTGCAGAACTAGATCAGCTAGTGGACGTCTGTCTGTGAGTACAATGGGACCAAAAAGGAGATCTTGTTTGTTGTGATGTCGGGTTTAAAAAGTTTATGCTACTTGATGCAAAGCCTCATAGGGCTCGGGATCCACGTTGCATTGTGGGACGTCGCGGTCATATTGACGGCTACGCAAACGTAAACATAGCTCTGATACAACGTTGTTGTTGAAAGAAGAGACGTAGAAGTAGAGAGAAAAAAGATGTCAAAATCCCGAAAAAGATCTGGAATTTACCAGGACACACTAAATAGAGAAGCCTCGGACCGGTATGTTGACAAAATCAGCATTATTAATAATTTGGATCCATATAAAGTTCCAAACAATGAGTGGAGCACCGATGAGTGAGCGCCTATACTTCAAAACAGTTCAGAAGCTACAAGTCCTTGGAGTCTCATATGCAGTTCATGAATGGATGGGTTCAGGAGCTGCAGATCATAAAGCCAGCAAACAGTGGGAACACAGTAATCTGTACGAAGGTAAGCTGTGATCAGACGGGCTCTGAAACCTGCTAGTTTAGTAACTGCTAACCGCTAGTGCTAACAACCACTCACGCATGTAATGTACTTTTAACTAGCTGCTATGTGTTTCAAAGGTGTAGTTAGTAACGTTAACTGCCAACCCTCCGGGTTTCTCACGTGTTTGAGCCTTTTCCCGCTGCCGTTTTTATTGTTTTCCCGTAAAAGATCCCAACTTTGAGGGAAAGAAACAAAGTAGGCTATAAAATAAAACCGTGCATCTTTACCTTACCAGAATGAAAATGCAGGGAACACACTCTTATTGACATTGGAATACTGTGGAAAGTTATGTTCGGTCGTCTTACAGCCGCGATCCAAGCTAGCCGACGACTCTTTTTCTCTGACGCTTGGTCTCCATGGTTACGCCTCCAGGCAGGAAAGCGGTGGAAAGTTAACCCATTTTCTATGTTTTTCCCATGGCGATCATGTGTTGAGCTGTTACAGCCCACAATACAGCAACGGTTTACCATGGTTGAAATCAAGATAAGGTCAAATTAATCAGGCTGAGAAGGAGTACAGTATGTGGTAGTCATAGGCAGTAGTCTGAGCCGCGGTAAAAGAGGCCGTCAATATGGCGGCAACCTAAACTGCTTACGTCATGACGACCAAGCCCTATTAAGAGAGATTCAAATTTTTTTATGTTTTTGCTTTTGCTGAAAAAGATGTATAAGTTACACAAATCTATTCTATAATTTCTACTTTTATTAAATTGTGCAGCTGAGGAGGTGTAAAAATATCCAGACAACTGGTGCATTGTCAAAAAATGTTCCTAGTGTGTTTTAGAACAGAAGTTCCCAAACATTTCTACTTTACTTTATATTAATGTATCCATTTAATGTCAATTACATTACATTTTTAATAAATTAATTACTTTAAAGCAGGGGGCGGCATAGCTCATTTTGTCAAAAAAAAAAAAAAAAAAAAAAGAGCCTCGGCAGACGGGGGGTGCCGCACTAGCGGCTTAGTTGTTTCACCCGGTCTGATTAGATGAAAAACTCTAATGGCTATCTGTTAGCAGCTACCTGACATTTTGTAATCATATCTATGTAACAAGAAAAACTCATCAGCTTCATTCAGCCGGAAACAAAGCTTCGCCCAACTGTTGTGTCACGTGACCAAATGAGCTCATTTCATTGGCTAGAAGCTGCTTGGCTGCATTGAGTGTAGATTGCTTTGGCTGGAGTTCACCAAAAGGTCAACACATTTGCAGTTGCAATTTTTTTGCATAAATTCAGTATAAGGAATTCAATGTGTAAAAAAAAAAAAAAAAAAAAATAAGTGTTTAATATTCGGTGTGCATAAAAAAAATGAGTACAGAAATGGTTGAAATGAATCACTGCAGTTTAATCTATGATTTCTTTACATCAAATCACAAAAAATACAGTACTATTTAACAATATTGTAATTTACTGAGATTGACGTGTTTAGCTATCCCACATTTACACGAATCTTAAATATGCAATTACTGCTTTTATTATGCCTTGTTTTAAAGGCAGCATAATTCATTTACTACTACAAACAAACATAAATAAAGCTGTTGGTTTAAGCTTTTACTCATGGATCTGACCCAATCCTACATTCTATGCAAGGCACTAGAATAGTCCTAAACTGCGGGAGTCTTTCAGTGCAATAAAACGGCCTTTTTTGTTGTCCCTTCTTATCGCTCACATTGCTTTAATAATCATTTTCCCTGCGAATTAATGTTGTTGAAAGCTGTTTTTTTTAACCCTTTGCTGTGATCCTGATTCTTTCCTCTGGATGCAGGAAGTCTGGAGCCATTGGCTGTAGGTTGACAGGAGCAGGCTGGGGAGGCTGTGCCGTCTCCATGGTTCCCAGTGAAAAGGCGGAGGGCTTCCTAAAAGCCGTCAGAGAGGCCTACTACATGTCAGACCCACGCAGAGCTTCCATGGAAAAACAAAGTTTGTTTGTGACGAAGCCGGGGGGAGGAGCTGCAGTTCTACTGGAGGAGTAAAACCTCAAACCCACCAATGTTTACTTTGCAAACTTTATTTTTCTAATCGGCTTGAAGAGCTGGGAATAATTGTGCTTTATGTTTTAGCTCATTTTACAGATGGGAACACGAGGGAATCAATATACACTGCTGTGATTTGTATTTGCTTGAATTTCTTTTTGTAATTTTGTTTTTTATTCTGAGAGATGATGTCAAATGAACCCTTTGAAAATAAAACTAAACCATATATTTAAAAGAACACAGCTGCACTTGAAGGGATCATTATCTCCAAAAAAGGTTTAATTAGAAGGCAAACAAATTAACTGACAACAATGCAAACTTGACATAGAACACAATCAAGACAAGTTTTAAGTTGTAAATATAAAATCACAAACTGGGCTTTGGCTTCCGGACATTTATTCCCTAATCCAGTTAGCAACTGTGGCTGGTCTTACTGGTCTGAGGCAAACGCCGCTCCGTATCGATAAACCACTGTTGGTATTATTGAGTATTTTAGATCTAATCATTTTAATGCATTCAGAAACTGTCTTCTACACCTTTTATACATTTAGAGTCGAGGAAAATATCAAATAAATCAATAAATGGTCAAATAAAACCTTACAAGGCACATATTCTCTATCCCTGCTGTTTTATAGCATTGGAGCAGGCAAAATGGAGAATCAATAAAAGGCAATTTGTTGTGCTTTCAGAAGCGTTCTCCGTGGGAAAATAACTTCCACTACTTCAAATTACAGAGGTAAATCATTTCGAGGTAATCTCAGGGCTCCTATACATTTTTCATGTAAATATCTCCCAGTTTTTAAATGATCAAACCTGCTTTATAAATGGAACCTGCAAAAAATAAAAACTTGAAGACATGCATAGAAAGGAAGGAGGCAGATAAAGACGAAAAGACAAAAAATGACTGAACAGAGGTGGGATACAAGAAAAGAATTGGAAAAAGGGAGGATATTGGAAAAAAAATGAAGGAAAAATGGTTTATTAGGCAGGGCAGGGAAGAAAAACAGGAAAAAAAAGAAGGACACAAGGTAGGAAGAAAGAACCTTGGAGAGGAAGTAAAGAGAGGGAAGGATAGTAGGTAGAACGGTGGACAGAGGGGAGAAAAAGAAGGTTTCTGATTGAAGTAAAGTATGGAAATATATCGCTATTCTCCTATAGTTATTTTCACCAAACTTATCCAGACCAGAAAAATTCCAGACCGTAAAGATTATTTTGTTTCCTAATATTCTTTAATATTCAGAGCCTACCCATTCATACCATTAAAAACTGAGGTATACTTTGAGCTTTGATTTATCCAAATGAAGAAAATTCAAAGCTTGTTCTTAGTTTATCAGATCCATGCAAATGGTCATCAAAATATTCAAACCCTCAGAACTTCTTCACATTTTTTATTACAACACAAAATTGTAAAGAGAAACTATTCAAATTGAAATACATGAAAAAGGAAAACTGTAAAAGGTGTGGTAGTAGCCATTCAGAATTTCCCAACTTTCCTTGAAGGGCCCTTGGCTTCTCCCCTACAGTTCCTTTATAAACATCAATATTTGTACTAAAATATTCTTTCTGACATTATTTGTTGACATTAAGATCTAAAGAGAAACTTCATCTCCTGATCAGTCCCTGTAATTCAGTGAAAGGGTGGAGTCAGTAAAAAATATGCGTGCCCAGGTGAAGGCCACTGGCTGGGAGTTGCAGGGGATTTTGCTGGGAGTTGCTGGGAAGTGTGCTGCCATTCGGCTGCTGTTTGACTGGGAGGGGGCATTTTGAATGGCTGCCACAGTATGTAGTGCAGCATTCAGAGGTCAGTAAGTGGAATCCACTTTAAAGTAATAAAGCTGTTCTGGGAAGGTCTGTGAGGGTTTGTTGAGAGCACAATTGTCACAGTAAGTTTTCTCTTTGAGTTTTCAGTTTCACTTTCATCCATGTTTTTCTTTGTTCTCCAGTTGTATTGGTTTAATTAATATTTTGTGGTGTTTTCTGGATATATTTGAGTTCTTAGGTATTTCTTGCTTGCCCTCTTGTGTTGGTCTCCTTTTCCCTAGCTCCCTTCTAGAATCCTCTGTTCACACCTGCTCCCAATTAGCTCATTAGTCCTGTCTTTGTTCAGTCTCCCATATATACTCTCCCTGTGCAGTTCCTCATTCTTTCCTGGCTCCTCATGCATGTTTTCCTTGATGGTTCTGTTTTTTTCTGTATTTTTATGTTGGATTCTTGGATTCCTGCCTCAGTTGCTTGTGAGTACTACATTAAAACTACAAGTCACCTCTGCCTCCTCACCTCTGCATTTGGGTCCTCAAAACCTCAACCAAACCCTGACAATATTAAAAAACCTTCCAATAACATTACCCAAAACACACCATCCCCAAGGTGAAGCATAGTGGTGGCAGCATTGTTCTGTGGGGTCAGCACATATGCTTTTAATCCATTGTGATTGAGCTGATTTTTTTTTGCAAAAGAAGGAAGGTGCACAGATGCACAAATGTTGTAAATCATATATGAGTGAAATATAAAAAGCAATTGTATAAAGTTTTGACCATAGGGGCTGGACAGAAATTTTGGTTTCAGATTTAAATCCATAAAACAATCTCAAAGGAAACTGTCAAATGCATTAATGTACGACTTTGCAGAATAAAAAATGTGTAAAGACAATTGGGTATGAATATTTTGTTGAGGCACTTCCTGTGTTACTGCAGTCTATTTGCTGATGCCTTTGAGTCTTTATGGTTCTCTGGTGCTTCAGCCGAGATGCACGAGACTTCGTTCTTCCGCTTAAGGATGTTTTCTATCCAGCTGGAACTTTGTGCTGTTCTCTCCAGGGAGTGAGTGGAAGATATTTCGCTCATTCTCATGTTTTTGCCTGAGGTGATCAGCTCTCCGTAGCCCTGCTGGTGGGAGAAGGCATAGGCAGAGCGGCGGGAGCTGGTTCTGCGGACTCGCCTTAGGCTCTGCTCCTGAGGTCTGTGCCTCTTCCTGGACTGCTGCAAATGACGAACCTGTGACCACAGAGCAAAGACAGAGATGGAAGCAATCTCTTATTTCTCTGAGATTGTTGGATTTCACAGCATTTTCTGTATTTAGTGGAGTCGTTCTGTGTGGTCGGAAAATTTGGATTTCTCTTGTTTCATATATTGATTTATGCTATTTTCTCACTATAAACGTTTTCACTCAGTCTGTATTACCTAGCCTGGGTGCCATTCCGAACTTAGTCCCGCCCACAATGTTTGAGGTCAGGAAGTTCGGACTGGCATTGCTCAATAGTAGCGCGAGTATGCTCGCACAATATCTGGCGGGCCAATCAAATTGTCAGGGCGGGCTTTATACGATGATGGACAGATGATCAACAGTAACGTAATCAACCACGTGACCAAAGCGCGCATGGGCGACAACAACAATGGCTGCCGCTGGAGAGTTGAGGTGTGTAGATTCTGCTATTAGGTCTGTTCTAGAAGATATCGACAGCAAATTAATTTTAAAAGAGGAACAGAGAAACGCGATCAAGGCTCATTTTCTTATTCTAGGCGTGTAACTGCACGCTTTGATTTTTGTTGACAACAACTATGCCTCGCCTAACATACGTCACGCACTCCGTTGCTCTTATTGGTTGTAGGTCTATCCAATTGAGTGCAGAGGCATTTTTTTTCCTGGTTCGTTCGAAACACGCCCCATAATCACAGCTCTATGGAGCAGCATCAGACTCATTCTGACTAGAATTGAGTCGGACTACGTCAGGCTATGTATTACCTGCAAAGCCACACAATGCCTGAGTGAGGGTGTTTGTAGACAAAATATACTTCTCACCATAACAAGTCAGATTCTTTCTCAAGGTTTATTCATTACATGTTACTGTTAAACCAAAGTTCCTGTAAGTTGGGCGTGCAGGTGACGCAGTGGTTAGTGCGCACAACCCATGTACGGAGGCCTTAGTCCTTGATGTGGCCGACCCGGGTTCCAGTCTGACCTCAGAAAAAAAAAAGAGCCAGTAGTGCTGCAAAAACTAAACAAAAAAAAAAAAAAGTCTGTACGTTGTTATGTACGGTAAGTAAGGGGGAACGAATGCTGCCCAGATCAGAACAGGGCTGATTAGTCAGAGATGGGAAGTCTTCAAGTAGATTTTTCTGATATTTTTACTTTACTTTACTACTTATTTTTATGGCGACTTTTTACTTCTACTCCTTACATTTTTACACAAATATCTGTACTTTCTACTCCTTACATTTAAAAAAATTGTCTCGTTACTTTAGTTTTGAATCATTTCAATGGAGTTACCGTTATTATTTTTCACGCCATCAATACCAAATTCAATCTAATTGGATGGGAATCTACGTTGCATTTGACGCACCACTACAAGATGAATCGAAAGATTCGGCGGTATTCATTGGCGGCAAATCATTGCAGCTTGGTGGCGGCGGCGTTAGCATAGTAGCATGGACGACGAGATGATTGAAAATGAACACAACGGAGATCTAGTCCTATTGGCAGACATCCATTTAAAATGTAGGCAACGGCATGAAAAAAGTGGTTTCTACTTTTACTTTTATACTTTAAGTAAATTTAAAAGCCTATACTTTGTTACTTTTACTTAAAGCTACAGTGTGTAACTTTTAGCGACATCTAGCGGTCAGACTGCAGACTGCAGCAACATGAACATCTCCCCCCCACCGCTTCTCCCCCCCAACAGTACGGCGAGCGTTACGGGACAAAATGTCTTCCACGACGTCCGCATCACCTACCTTCTCAAGTGATGAGGTTTGTTTACATAGATAATTTTACAGATAGTATTTCATTAGTCTGTGTAGGGTATAGATTTCATGTAGACTTAAGATAATAAATATACCCGTTATTTTTTCTACGTCGTTGTGACGTTTTGGCGATCTCGCAATCGCTAGTTTGTTGGCTCTGTGCTGCCGTAGCGCAAAGATGTCTGCCTCCATGGCTGCGAGACCCGCTCCTATGTAATTATAAATAACGAATTCTAAGGCAACGCAAATATTAAGGTTAAGAGGCTGAGCTCGTAGATGATGATAAATAACATAGTTATGTATAATATACTACATTTCTGACTGTATATCCCTGTAATTATTACACACTGTAGCTTTAAGTAAAGGAGTTTAATCAGTACTTCCACTTTTACCAGAGTATTTTTTAACACAAGTATCTGTACTTTTACTCAAGTACGGAAAGTGAGTACTTTCGCCATCTCTGCTGATTACCGTGCAATAAGGGCCGTATGATGAACTGTTCTCTCTTTTCAAAGATAAAAATAAAGTGTCGACTGAGGTAAATCCATCGATCTCCATTTATTTAACTGGAGTGAATAGTTGAATACTTTTTTTCCCACGACAAAAACGTAAAACTATAAACCCTGCATTCAGGGACGGATTTACGAAATGTGGGGCCCTAGGCAAAGACAGGCAGGGGGCCCTCTGAATGGAGAAGACAACACATAAACAGCCCCGTTCTCCAGATAGAGAAATGTTAATAGAATAGACATCCATTATCTGTTCTAGGTTGTGTCCCTCTCTTCTTGTCCCTTTTCTTCTTGTTTTCCTCTCTATGTTTTGTACTCAGCTGACTTTTCATGCTGTCTCTAAAGGAATGAAAGATTTTTTCCTTCCTGTGTTTCCAAAAAGGCCAAAGTAAATAACCCAGTCCTTCTTTTCACTGTAGACTAGGGTGACCATATTTTCATTTGGGAAAACCAGGACACCTTGGAGCGGGGGGGGGGGTATTGAAAGAACAAATGTCTCATCATCGGGATTTGCTACGTGATCAGAGGAAATGTTACTTGGCACAGAACAGTTGTGAAAATTTGAAGTACAGTTTAATATAATAATACAACTCTGTGAATAGTTCCGTCTGAAATTAATGAAAATAGTTGTTTTAATGGTTATTGAGTCAGATATGTGGCGGTAATGTTTGGTTTATCCAAAGGTTTTAATCTGTTACTGTGTAAATGGGTTTGGCTGTAATTTAAGGACCGATTCTAATAGATCTGCAGAGTGGGAACTATAAATCTGATAGGATTTTAATTTTTTTATTGTTGTTTTGCACAATATGCTTAACTAAGTATTTTTTGTTGTTGAAAATTAGAGATTTTGCAGATATATTTTGTAGATACATTGTTTAGATTTACTTATATATTTCTAACCCTTTTATAGAATAGAATAGAAAATCCCTTTATTGTCCCACAATGGGCAAATTTACAGCAGCAGAAAGATTATTGAAAATGGTCACACAAATGAGGACCTTAGAGAAATGTATAAGAATAACATAATAGGGAAGAGTTAAAATATAAAAAATAAAATTCTGTAAAGTGTTTTAACAATATAAAACTGGAGAATTAATAACCAATATGCAGCTATGGACATTTTTACAATAATGGATATTTGAAAATAGCAGCAACATCAGAGATGTGCAGAATGACAGCAGCAGGTTATTTAACTGACTAAGGTTTCTATCATTACATTTGATTTTATTTGTTCCTGCTCCCGGTGGCTGGAACCTTTATTCCACTCTGGATTCTTTTGAGTGTAGTCTTTGTTCACTTTAACTTTTTAAAAAATAAATAAATAAACAAACAGTTTTGAAAACCTCGGTATTCATTCTTTTCCTGCTTTGTGTTTCAACTTTCACGGTTGCTAAGCAACAGAGCATAGGCGGTAAAACCCGCCGAAGGGAGGACCTGTTCAAATTTACAGACAGAACTCTTCCGGCCTCCTTATTTTCAAGGACTTCGAAGGATCCAGTCTAGGTAGACCGCGTCCTTGGAGGATGCAGCCCAGGTTTTTGAACAGAGCCTCTGATTAAGAGCAGGGCTGCCTGCACTGACGCGGCTCAGGGATTACGTCACACGGAGCGTCGTGCGCAGTGAAATCAGGACATTTCCTCACTTTCTAAAAAAAACCTGGGACGCCCGGGACAGGACGTGAAATACGGACGTTTGGTCACCCTACTGTAGACAAGCCATGATCTGCTTATCTGTTCTCCATTTTTCATTTTAATGACGTTTTAATGACGTTTAATGGGGCCCCAAGGAACTTCGGGGCCCTAGGCAACTGCCTAATATTGCCTAATGGTAAATCCGCCCCTGTCTGTATTGAAACAACACAATTTGCAACTATACGTTTTTTCTTTTCAGGTAAGAATATTCCTGCTTTTTTTGTTTTTTTAAACTTTAATTTTGCAGTCGACCTGAGTGACTTAAAACTTAATTCGTAATCGATTCCAATTCTGATAATTTAAAATCGATTCCTTTCAATCTGATCTCAACTTGCTTTGCAGGTGTAAAAACACATTTTGGCTGTTATTTGAATTATGTGACTGTGAATGATTATGCAACATGTTTATCCTATTATTGTATTAACATTCAACAGCAAATGAATCATGTTATGGTAGTTAGTAATGACTTTAACAACAGTGTAAAAATGCTTTTTTCATATCTGGTTATATGAATAGATCAGTAGGAATTCATATGAGAATCATTTAAAGAGGATATTTCAGGTTAGAGCCTCACTTTTATCAGTGTTTAGAAAAATATGTAAGCAGTTGTTTTTTAAATCAACTCCCTGAGGTGACGTCAAATTACCTGTTTGTTCATAAAAAGCAGTTTTTGGAAACACTGCTTAGAAATGTCACTTTAATGAGTATATTTACATTACCATAACGTTTTAAATCCTCAAAAAAAATCATAAAAATTATCCATTAGACAACATTATATCTTGTCAAAAAATGTAAAATAATATTTACCCTTTAAGAATTATATTATTTTGACATAGTCCATTCCCTAAAGAAGACTTTTTATTAAATTAAATCGAGTGAGACTA